TAAAGAAAATAATGGCACGACTTTGATCCTTGTGTCACCATAGAAATGCTGGTAATCTAGCCTTCACAACAAACTAGTGATTTCTCATATTGGACCAGCTCTGTCATAAAATGTTGTTGAGTGTGGGTCTCTTGCTTGCTAGGAGGCCACAAGTAAAAGCATATTGCATGTAAGACTGTGTTGAATTTTAATTTATCTAGAGCCTTCCTTTACATCCAAGTGATGAATTTCTAAACTGGTTCTCCAAGCTCTTGTAAAATTCATCATGCCAAATGATGATATACATCTTCTGTCACATGGGCTCCCATAACTTGGTTCACATTCATCCAGGATCGTTCCATAGCAAGACTACATCATCTCTGAAAGAGGAATAGACTCCAAGTTCCCAGCCTGTTTTAGTAATCATCCTTCATGCATAATGGCAGATTTTGAGACATCAATGTACAACAATCCAAGAACTGTTAGAGTGAGCAGCCAGGTCTAATAATCTGAAGGGCAATCACCCTAATCAAGGTTTTTCCTTTTCTAGTCAGACATTAGTCAATGGCCAAAGGCTAGTAATGACATCAGATAGAATTGAGCATGTTCTCACCATGCCAGGAAATTGTCTCCATCTAACACTTATGTGGCTAGATTTAATTTTTTTAGGAAAAGTTAATGTTCTGGCAAGTCCAATAACAGAGATGGAAAGTCACATTATATAATTGAAGCTTATTAGGATAAAACCACATAAGGCTAGGAAAATGTAATTATTTTTTACTATCCTTTTATGGTGTCAGTCAAAACTGAATTTAAGGGTAAATATTGGTGTGAAAAGGCTCTTAGAATTATATGGCTATTAACCACATGCAGATAATGCTTCAAACTTGATCAAAAGTAAGGGATTGTAACTTGCTTTTCAATGATTATTTCATATATAACTTAGTCAACAATTTCTCAAAAACAAATTCCAAACTTAGTAGCAACCAGTTAATACGAGGTTAAAACAATTGCAAACTTCGTCTCCACATCTAATTGTTTTTTGAACCTACTTCTTAAGCTTATATAAAATTTTACAATAGAGAAAATTAAATGTAGATCTAGACATTAAACATCCTATCACTATTAAAAATGTGTCAAAGTGTGATCCATGATTTATAGTATAACCAAATCTTTAGCAAAACTCTTCTTTTCTTTTTCCATACATCCTTAATAGTTGCACTTTAGCCATAATTTTGCCATCAAGTTATTAGTATTATTCATTTGGATGTAAATCACATTCAAGTTATAAATCAGTAAGAAGAAATTTTTAGCTCTATTAGAGCCTTGGGTATTAAAAAAAAAAAAGTAATTACAGATGGGAGTATTATATATTTACACACGTGGATTTATTTCTTTGTTTTGAGTTGCATGCAAAAATATTATGCACACAATCACTTTTCAATTGCTCTATAAACAATTAAAACATGACTATGTATATAATATTTTTGTCATGGGTTATGCCATGTATGCATGGGGCATGACACCTCATACTGCCATATAAGATTGATGCCACATCCACCACAAATCTAGTGAGGGTTTACGTAGGTAAATATGTAATGCAAGTTTTATGCAAGCAAGTATGTAATGCACATTTATATTATGTGAGAAAAATATTCCACAACTCTTCTTTTTCTTTTACAATGTCATATAAAGATGAAATTTATGAATAATATGTGGAGCAATAGGATAAAAAGCACTATATTGAATGGGAGTTTCTTGTTTTGTCATAGCATCACACATTAATAGAGTGCCTAATTAGTGCTTTCTTGGTCATGGTGTTCCTTCAACAAGCATGTAAATATTAATTTCCATATAAATTAGCTATAAGCATATATGTAACTTTATTACTTTTATCAATAAAGTGTTGTAACAATCTTTCAAACCTTCACATTTTTCCACCTTTTATATGCACTCAGAATGGTAGTTCAAGTTACAAATCTCGGCTCTAGAGGCATAGATTTTAACACCATCATTGCCTCATCTAAATGGTTTACTTGTTCCAAGAGATTAATCACTCCATGGTAGTGCTCATGCCTAACATAGATCCTATACTTCATCTCTATTGCATACTTTGCTTGTTTCATAAGCTTTATATGGCTACAAGCATTGATGTATTGGGATGAAGGCTAAGATTTTGTATGTTATGAAAGCTTTCAAACAAGGAAGCAATATCTCTTTAATGCTATATCTATCTACAAGTGTTGTCCAAGCTATAAGATATTTGACAACATCAAGTTGAAAACCTGTTGAGATGGGACTATTCTTCGAACTTTACAAATGACCTAGTTGCTCTTCAGTCCATAGTAGCAAATCTCTACATGAACTCTTCATCCCAATTGCCAAGCACTAATGCTATTGCAAGCTTTAAGTCCTCATTACCAATTTTGTTACTTTGAGCTGTCTAACAATGCAAAGCCATGCTTTGCTTCAGTGCCACTAATTTCACAAAACCTCTATCTATGTCCCTACTTTCTTCTTTATTAGAAAGAACTCAAGCACTCCTTGAAAGTAATCGCATAGTTTCGTGAATTTGGCATATAACGTTTAGATTGTATAGCTTGAAATAGTTTTAACACTGTTTTGTACTGTCTGTTCTTAAATGGATTTTTCACATTCTTAATCATATGCTAAATTATTTGGCATTGTAATAGTTAGTTAACTAAGCACACAATAATGGCAAGCTTAGTCCACAATATTTAAAATGTGCTAAAAAATCCAGCTTGCTTGTTGGAAAATATTATGTCTACAAGCTTTAAGTCTAAACCTTATTAATGTGTAGAAAAAAGAACTAATGTAAAGATTTACATAGCATAAAAATTGCACTTGGACTTTGCCTTACATACATTACAAACACCAATGCATACTTATTCATAAAAAAATATTGTGTTTAAAATATTATTTTGCAAGTAACACATATAATAGTTTAAGCACGTCTGTGTTTTTTTAAATATATTTTGGAGGTTACTATAAGTTTTTTGCCAGGCCACCCACCCCAAATATACTTTTTTTTTTGGGACAAAAGTTGCTATCACAAATTGCTTACCATACCTAAGGCTATGATAAATAAAAGATGTTCTTTTAAGTGCTCTATCTCTATCATCAAGAAGACTAAAAATTATGATGGAAAGAGTATGGAGGACTTTCACACTCTTAATTAAAAATATTTTCTAGATTCATGCATTATTATTATTATATCTTTACAAACTGAAATCAGGTGAAAGGTCATTAAAAAAGGGCCAGAGTAGTTGAGGCATCAACCACTGCAACAACTAAAGCACAAAAAGAAACAAAAAAAGAAAAAGAAGGAATCAAAAGTGTAGAGCTCCATACACTTCCAGTCACTGGCCGTGAAAGATAGGTTCATGAGAAGTTTAGTGATTAATTCTGTGTCTCGTCTTCTTCAGCAAGGCAAGCCAGCGGAAGCGGCTCCAGGAAGATCAGAGCTACGACCCTCTATCAGATGAGGAAGTGGCAAAGGAGCACCGAAAGGTGTGAGCGACTATCACCAATCTCGTGGTTTCGTTGCTCCCTCTTTTTGTAAAAACCGACTGGTCATATATATATACAAATGTTCTGTGTCACGGTTTTTTTATCTGATCATTGACTTGGCCGGTCTTGGCCTGCTCTGGGTCGTTCTCCAGGACTTCGTAGTAGTAAGTGGCATCAAGCTCATCGACCTTGTCAGCTTTGTAGTAGAGGAAGTAGTGCTGAAAGATGAAGAGAATGTCGAAAGCGATGCATTCCTACGTAGAATACAGGGAACGTGGAAGAGTATGAACGTGGAAGATTAGAAACGTGTATACAGGGAACGTGGAAGACTAGAATTGCAGTGACGTAGAAACATACCAGCGAGATTCCCAGTTTGCCAACGTTCCCGGAGAAGTTCATGGTGGAGCCTGTGCGATTGGAGAGTCAAGATCTCTAAAGCCACAAAACTCGAGAGGCTTACGTTGGTCGATGGATTGCACGGCCATCTGGAGAATGTTGGCGATTCCCCCCGACAAATCGAGGGGAATGGTTGCTATGCTCCAGCCAACGGTGCTCTTCCTCCTGAAGTTCATCCAAGCCTGTTGATCGCATGAAAACGATCTCGACACTTTGGGTGATGTGATCACAGCTTTATTACCTGAGGGATGTACTTGATCACTGCCATCACCATTTGTATGATGCTGCGCAAGATTAAGAGTGTTCAAGCAACTAACAGATTAAGAGAATTGGATCTTACTTGAAAACTTGGACGAGCCATAGCCAGCGGCCGCTGGGAAATGCGACGATGAGACCGGTCAATCCGGCTAGCCAAGCTCCCAGGGACACCAAAACTCCAGCCTCGGACACCCTTTGTCCTCCTCTCTAAAAGGGACACCAAAGTAAGCTTGTCACCTTTCTCTTCAGCTTGCTTTGTTACCTCGTACAGGAAAATTTGCACAATTGTGAATCCTGCGAGGAGCACGGCGTGGATCGAGAACGCAACGTCGTTTGCAGCAACTGGAATCAGCTGGAACGTGGAGAAGGATTCAGGGGTCTTCGTCCATCTCTCAATTACGCACCTCGTCACGACCATACTTCTCGTGGTACTGCCTTTGAACGACAGGGCTGAAGAAGACGGCGGCGTTGTAGATGAGATACGAGGAATGCTTGGTGAAGTTGAGCAGCTGGAAATCGAAGTTCAATCCTACGACGCTGCAAGCAATCAAAAACTAGCTTGAGAAAAGCGCAAAGGGGACGAAGCGAGAATTGGAACAGTTTTCTTGCGGCAGCTATCAATGCGTACCTCTTTCGCCGGTAATTGAGCAACACTTGCGGGTAGAAGCTGATCGACCACACTGCAAACGCAAACCATCCAAGAATTTGATAGATCGCGCTCAAAGAGCTGGAGCTCCAAGACGCCATTCGCCCCCTCCAATGATCAGCTTAACGAATCTTATATAACGTTTCTTGTATCGCTGGGAACAATCCTAGCCGTTCGATTGGATACCTTATTCGTCTAAGAAACGACTCTCTTTTGTCAAATGAATTGTTCTCGGCACAACACAAAAAAGGAGAAGAGAAGATTTTGGCGCAAGCTAAGTTGTGACCAAGTCTGGAATTTCAGACTCCACAGCTAACAACGTCGAGTGAACCTTTAGCAACCAATTGTCGAGTCGATCACGCAACGCTGCAATCTGCGGGATTCCCAGAACTCTCGGTTGGACCCACGAGATACGGACGGTTCCATCCACCTGATCGATGATGCCTTCGATGAGATGGACCTGCGAGCGAGAAAAGGGAGTGAATGAATCCGTGATCATCGGCCATGATTCTAATGCTAGAAACTTTGAGACAGTACCGATAGGCTCTTGATCAAGAGATGCTCCACCTCTTCCAGCGGTAGAGTCGTTCGCTCGGCGATGAGCGCCAGAGGGATGGTCCTCTCGTCGGAGGGGCGGCTGCGAGAGAAAGAAAATGTGGTTGTCTTCCTGTGAGAAGCTTTGCTCTTACCTGAAGATGATTTCCATCAAGCACAGTATGTTGATCTTCTCCCACAGCTTCTTCTTGTTCTCCACGAGGGACGGTTGCGCGGACAGAGCGTCTGCCCATCTCTCGCAGAGTACTTGGTACTTTGCCAAATCGCCAGTGTTGAACGCCATCAGAATGTGGTACAGCCACTCCACAGAGGAGCCTTGAAGGCTGTTTACCTGGGATAGAAGAACAAAAACCTCTCAGTACACGAGGAAAAAAGACAAGAAAGAAACACCAGCTGCTTACTATAGGGTGCGCAAGAAGTTCTCCAAAGTTGTAAATGTTATCTCCTAAGAGCGCTGCCAAGGACAAGTCGAAAGCCAGGTCCTACATACAGACACAACCATAGCGAAAGAGCTTTAGCCCAGAATCAAGCAAAAAAAATAAAGACAGAAAGAAAAAGTGGAGGGAATCTTACCAGCTTGAAGGAATCCGACAGGCTCTCCACTGACGTGTAAGCCAAGTAGAGAAGAGCGCTTCGATAGAAGCCAGTGAACTCTTGCTTGGACTTGTGGTACTGTGAAGACACCCAATGGACGCTGGCGTGCACCGACGGATCAACGTCGGTCATGCTCTCGAGTGTGCTCTTGCCCTCATCCAGCAGCACCTTGCATTCCTTTAGCTCCCCCTTCTGGAGCTTCAATGCGGCTATTTGCATCTTCACGTACAGCACGGGCTCCTCCACGCGCCTGTCGCCAGTCGCCCGGAGCTTGCCAATCACGCCCTCCAAGTAGGAGATCGCTACCTCCTTCTCCTCGTAGTGCTGCGACACGATCACCGCGAAGTGAGCGAGCTTGAGGTGATTGATCTTGGACTCGAAGTCCGTGATGAATTCGTGGTAGAGATTGATCATGTCATTGCCATCCTGCAAGCAACCCACCATAATATCACCAGATTTTCACCAAAATCTCCGGAGAGGGAGCGAGAGGGCGAGAGATTGCCTACCCGGAGGTGCTGGAAGAATTTCTCGAGCTTGAGCGTGAGCTGATGCCAGAGCTTGTGCCGGTATAGATGCGCCAGATCATTGTACCACTCGGCAAGATCCGGCTCCAATCGGCTCTGCTGCTCCAGGTACGTGACGGCCGCCATCGCCACGCAGCGCCACGAGCGCCAAAAACCCTAGCGCCACGAATGCTCCCTCGCGAAAGAGGAAGAACTAAAATTTTAGGGCAGACGTCGGGGTTTCGAATCCCAGCAGCTTAAAACTCCAGAGGCACGGTTTCGATTCCCAGCAGGATAACGTAAAGAAGCGGGAATGTAGCACAGCTTGGGTTCTAGGGCTAGGGCGAAGCTCTTTTCGTCTCTGGGCGATGGAAGCCGGCGATGGTGTTGCTGGTCTCGTCAAGCAGCTCGTCCAGCGGATTTTCCCGGCGGCCAAGCAGCATCAGCAACAGCAGCGCGGCGATGGCGATCTGGACGTTGTGGCGGATCAAGCCTTCAGGTACGCAATGCGCATCGTGGGATCCCGCATTGTGTCGTCGCTGGCCAGCGACGAGGCGGCCATGGCCGAGTCTATCAAGCGGCAGCTGGTGATGGAGGGGCGCTCCTCGGACGCCCTCACGTTCGCGGATTTGCACCGCCGCCTGGCGGCACTGAGCGGCCCGGGCAGCATCGAGAACCGCTGGGCGGTACTCTATCTTCTCAGGGCCGTGGCGGAGGACCAGCGGCGGGAAAGAGCCGAGACGAGGGGCACGGCGGTGCCGCTCACGTCCACAATCTCCGCCCACGCTGCCGCTGGAGGGCTACCAGCATTGCCGGATTCCACGAACGAGAGGCTTGTAGCAGCACCTCAAAATGGTGGTGGTGGTGGCGGAGTGCTCGTTCTTGCTAGGGACTCGGACACCGTCAAGGCCACCGCTCTCCGAGAGTTTGGCGATCTTACACAGGAATCCTTTGAGCTCTCCGAGGCGGCGCTTGTCCGGGACATTTTGTACGCTTGCCAGGGGATAGATGGCCGGTACGTAAGGTTTGACAAGGAGGCCGATGGATACATCGTGGACGAGAGCTTGAGGATCCCAAGAGCGACGAGGGTGCTCGTCCGGCGGCTCTGCGAGGTTGGCTGGCTCTTCAAGCGCGTCCAGGGGCACATCTCCGAGACGCTCGAGCAGGCTACTATGGAAGTGATTGGGACGGTCGGGCAAGCACTGAGCTCGGCGCTACAAGAGGAGCTATCCGAGTACTATCGACTTATGGCCGTGCTCGAGGCGCAACTCCACAACCAGATACCGTTCCTGGCTGTAGGAGAGACCGGGAAGAGCGTTGGGAACTATCTCTCGTTGCGGAGGCTGTGGGTGTGGCTGGCCGAGCCTCTGGCACGAATGAGGTTGATGGCTGTGCTGGTTGACGATTGTAAGTGTTTGAGAGGGGGAGCCATGGCCGGAGCCATACACGCCCACGCTCAGCACGGTGACCCGCTGGTGAGGAGTTTCATGAGCCGGCTTCTGCGAAGAGTTTGCTCTCCCTTGTTCGAGATGGTGAGACGCTGGGTGCTGGAAGGCGAAGTGGACGACTTGTATGGAGAATTTTTCATTCTGGCTCAACCGGTCAAGGCTGAGGCGCTGTGGAGGGAAGGATATAGCTTGCAGAGTGGAATGCTACCGTCTTTCATTCCAGAGCCGCTTGCTCAGAGGATACTGAGAACGGGGAAGTCCATCAACTTTCTGCGGGTCTGCTGCGAAGACCAGCAGTGGGCGACGGAGGCCGCGGAGGCTCTGGCGGCTGCTGGAGCTTCTGCCAATGCGGGGAGCCTGGGATACGGAGAGACGGAAGTTCTCGAGACTCTGGTGGTCGAGGCAGCCGGAAGGATCGACCGTCACGTCATCAAGATCATATACGAGCGTTACAAGTTTCGAGACCACTGCTTGGCTATCAAGAGGTACCTTCTACTGGGCCAAGGGGACTTCATTCAGTATCTGATGGATCTCGTCGGACCCGACCTCTCGCAGCCGGCAAACACCGTGAGCTCATTCAAGCTGGCGGGGCTTTTGGAGAGCGCCATCCGAGCCTTGAATGCACAGTATGACGACACCGAAGTTCTCGACCGGCTGAGAGTAAAGATGATGCCTCACGGCGACGGAGACCGAGGCTGGGACGTTTTCTCTCTCGAGTACAACGCAAGGGACCCCCTGACGACCATCTTCACCGAGCAAGTCATGGGGAGCTACCTTCGTATCTTCAACTTCCTCTGGAGGCTCAAGCGAGTGGAGCACGCACTGAGCGCGACCTGGCAGACGATGAAACCGAATTGCTCGCTCGGGCGGCCGTGGACGAGCGTCGTGGACGCGGCCGTGAAGTCGCAGCTGGTTGCGGTGCTGCGGCGGTGCCAGACTCTCCGGACGGAGATGAACCACTTCGTCACGAACCTCCAGTACTACATCATGTTCGAGGTGCTCGAGTACTCGTGGGCCAACTTTCTGGAAGAGATGGAGGAGGCCCACGACCTGGACGAGCTGATCGCCGCTCACGAGAAGTACTTGGGATCGATCATGGAGAAGGCGCTGCTCGGAGAGCGATCCCAGCTGCTGTCCAAGACGCTCTTCACGCTGTTTGATCTCATCCTGCGCTTCCGAGGCCTCGCGGATCGGCTGTACGAGAATGCTCGAGAGGTCCAGACCAGGTACGTGAAATACTTTTCTTCCTTCGCTGGTGCTCGAAGATGGAGGTTTTCTAAGTTCCTTTCCTGGCTTGTTTACTCAGGGGTAGAAACGCGACCAAGCAGCACACCACCGAGTTTTTTGCCACCATGGGCGAAGAGATGGTGGCGATTGCTGCCGAGTACTCGTCGCTGCTGGAAGGATTTATCGCCCAGCTCCCCGTCCAGCAGCACGTCGATCTCAAGTTCTTGTCCTTCCGGCTGGATTTCTCCGAGTTCTATACACGGCAACACATGCACACGCCAAATGTCCGGCTCAAGATCAAAAGAACTGCCACTCCAAAGAGCTAAGTTTCACTTTGCTGTTCCTCTCTCTCTCTCTCTCTCTCTCTCCAGAGGACGAAGAAGGAGAAGAAGAACTTCTTCTCGCTCGTTTGCTCTCTCGGCAAAAAGAAAGGAAAAAATCCGGCTTTTCTGGTTTTGCTTTTTGGAAACTAACAAAGAAATTGAATTCCCGCCAATTAGGGTTTTTTAAAATTAAACGGACTCGTTTGTCTTTGCCCTAAAAACTCGAAGGGCGTGACTCCTCTTTGGAGGGGAGGGCGGCAGCTGGAGCTCGATCGATGAGAGCGAATTAGCGATGGAGAATCCAACCAAGAGGCCGAGCTCCGCCAACAGCAGCACCAGGAGTAGCAGGATCGGCAGCGTCAGCGGCGGTGACAAGAAGGGAGAATCCAAGCCGGAGGCCTCGGCATCGGCATCGGGCTCAGCAGCAGTGCCAGCATCGCCAGTAGCGGTAGCATCGCCATTGGCGGGGTCGGCAACGCCAGCTCGAGGATCGCGATCGTCGTCCGTGAGGAAGTCGAGCATCTCTCTGCGCGGCGACAAGAATGTAAGGTTCTTGAACTGTCCTTTGTGCTCCAAGGTCTTCAAGCACGCGGTGGAGACCGGGTGTGGGCACGTATTCTGTGCGCGATGCCTCCAAAACAGCTTCACCAGATCCAAAGGGTGAGAGACTGTTACTTGATTTTTCTTCTACTTTGATCTCGTGAGAGATAGCTAGAATTTAGTTTGGTGCTTGTCCCTTGTGAGCAGTATAGCTAGAACTTGTTTTTTGATAGCTTTTGTTTGCTAGAACTTTTTTTGCTGGTATTTTTTGTTCTCCTGCTAGAACTTTGGTTGCTGATAGCTTTTGTTCTCCTGCTAGAACTCTTTTTGCTGATATCTTTTGGTTTTTTCATAGGTCCTGCTAGACCTTGTTTTGCTGATAGCTTTTGTTTGTTCTTCCTTGCTGATTTTGTTTTTTTCTTTTCTTTTTTTCTTTTGTTTGACATTGCGAGTGAGAACTTCGTTTGCTGGCTGCTTTATCCAGATGCCCGACGTGTGACCGGCCAATCGAGTACGTGCATCCTTGTTTCTTGCTGAGGGAGCTAATTGTGAAGTATGGTGGGAAACGAGGAGCAGGCATGCTTCAAACGGAATTCGCACCGTATCAAGACGACTGCGACATTCCGGACATCGATGATCCCATCATCATCGCTTCACAGTTTGTTGGAGCTGATCCTGGAGGTGAGTGCCACTTTGTCTGGTGGAAGTTTTTATATTTGTTTTTGTGTTGTTGCTTGCTCCATCCTGCTGCTTATTAAATTACAGGGACGATTCGGGGAATGTGTTTTTGCAGGGACGTGCTCGTGCGTTACCGGCGGCATCTTTGATCCTTCGGACTTGTATTTTAGTGAGCACCTCCATGATTTTGTGAGCGTGGAGGAGTTTTTGGACACCGTTAAAACGATCAACGAGATTGTGGCACAGTGAGTCCGTTCTTCCCTTGGTTTTCGATCTCCTAATGACTAAGTCCTCTTGTGTGTCTTGCAGTGCAACGCCTGGGCGTGCACAAACCTGCATGAATCGTTACGTTTGCTTCTGCTTGTTTTATGCACATGCGTGAGTACTCTTCGGTGTAATGTCATTCCGATTGAAGTTGTGATTTTTCGTTGCAGGAGGAACCTTATCTGCTCAATCCAAAGTGCATTGGCGGACTGCAACGTGAGATATCCAGAGACTGGTTTGTGGTGGACGTTGATGCATCTCGACAGTGATGTTTATTCGGTAATCCCTTTGAACTTCTTGCTCACGAATACCTCACTTGCGATGAAGTTTTCTGAGCTCAGGCTGGTAATCTAGACAAGAAAATGTATTTGATGCTGCGAATTGATCCAGTGAAAGCTCGCAACTATCAACACACGGTGGTAGGTGCGTGCCAGCCTTAGGGGACTTAAAAAATATTGCCTAAGGGGTTTTTGTGTTCCAGGAGGCTTGAAAGAGGGTGAATTGGCAAGGCTACGAAGAGAGAATGTCCTTTTGAGACATAAAATGCTTGAGATTGGTCAGACGACTTACCTCCGCGGCATCACTGCAAGAAGGGAGAAGTTGAAAGCTCGTGGAAAGTGAGTTACTCGGTTTTCGTTCTTTGCCAGTATCTAAGTGACTTTCCTTGCTGGTTTCTCTCAGGTTCCCCCACAGCTTCTATGCAGAATATCCAGGTACCACGACACTATCTGCGCAAAACTAAAGTAAAGGAGCTAAGGAAGAAAGGCGAGAGCGACCACTTGACTCTCCTCTAACATACGGCATGCAGATAGTTATGTGATCTCCCCGCGGACATTGAAGCAGCTCGTACAGTTCAGACCAGGAAGATCCACCAGAGCGTATTTTTTGCCACCATGGGCAAGGTGCCGGAGAATAACTTTTTCTATCTTTTCGCCTCACCCACATTGCTTGCGTGTGCAGAGTGAGATCAATGAGCAGTGGCTTGCTCCCTTTGAACAGAGAAGAAGACTACGTACTGAGCAAGCTGGGCTCGGGGACACTGTCCAGGTCCATGTCTCCGTATAGGCGGCCTTCTGACGCTTCAGCCGGAGGGAGAAGGAGCGAATCCGGGCCTTCAAACCGCGACTCTATATCATCAGCGGTAAAGAAGCGTCTTGTTTTTTGGTTTCTTTTGTCTCTTTTTTCTAGCGAATTGTTGACATCAAAACCTCTTGCAGGCTGGAAGATGACTGATCACCAGAGGCATTTGTTAGAAAAGGCCAGGATTTTTATTACACAGCTCTAGATGGACAAGGCTGCACAGCAGTAGCAGCAGTGACTGGACTGATGTAAGCGTGAGTTCATGCTTTGGTGACGTCGAGTTTTCTTTTCTTCCTTGCTGCAGGAGGTGGCTCTTAAAACATTCCGTAGAGTGTGTTCCCACTTCACAGTCTTCACGCCAATGGATTGTTTCCTCGTCTGTACAAACACAGCAGTGCACTGAGCCCCTCGTCGAGGCGCGTCGTCTTCGCTTCCCGCGGCCAGAGTTAAAGTTATTTGTCACTTTTTTTTGCTTTCCGCTGTTGGATCTCCAAGAGCAGCAGAGCGAGCTTTTGAGCACGCAGCGGCGGCACTTTTGTCTCCTTTCGATCACGAAGGGAGAAGTTATTGGCTCGCTTCATCACAGCCGAGGGAGATGACGGTGACAAGCATGAGCGCGACTGCTCGCACTTCAACCAACTGGCGATCTCTTCACGAAACGACCCTGCATAGTAGAAACCGGAAACTTTAAAACTTGAAACCGGAACGAAAAGGAAGAACACCAGCCTTAAACCCACACGAAAACGAGGACGATAGAACAACTCACGATCGGACATGACAACCCAACTATAACAAAAGCGGCCAGCTAAGATCAAACCAGAAACTAGACCAGCAAAACAAAGACGACAGAAAGGCAAGCAAACGTGATGGACGGAAACGAACCTTGAGCCGAGGCCGCCTCTCGGCATTGAGCTTGCGGACTTCATATCTGATCTTTTTGGAGAAGAGGCGAGTCCGACGCTTTTCGCGGTAGCGGGACACCCGTGCCTCGCGTCCTCCGCTTCCTGTGCTTGCTGCCATTGCTCCAATCGCTGCTGCCGCCGCTTCTCCTCCTCCTGGTGTTTCCGCATTTGGCCCGTCGTGGAGCTCCATGCGCGTCACCACTGGCACTCGGCCTGCCTGTTCCACCGCGCACGGCCGTCCGCTTCGCCGGCTCGCCGCACTGCTCAAGTCTGGAACGACACCAACATCCGAGCTGCCCTGTTTCAAATGCATCAAACAACCACACCATCAAATCCAGAGATCACAGACACGTAAAAGTTCACAGGAAAACTATTAAACACAAAGACCCGAACAAGCTGGAAAAACGAGATAACCACATCAAAGACTAAGATAAGCATAAGCAATCACGAGCAAAGCATAGGACGAAAAGGAGCTTCTAACGACGAGAAACTCAAGATCGAGGGAGAAAAGCTTTCCAGACGAGGAGAACAGGACAAACTTTCAACGACAGAAAAATCACGCCGTCAAATCGGAGGCTGCTGACAACAAGACACCATATCGCGAGCAATCCAGTAAAAATGTTTAAACGAGCTGACAAAGAATTGAATATGCAACAGCAAGGGAACGAGCAACTGAGCTACTGGCTACCAAACAAAAGCTCGGACACTAAACAAAGGCAAACAAAGAAAAGAGGGAAAGGAAAGATTAAACAAACGAAGAGAGAAAGTTGAGACTTTCAATCAACGATAAAACAATTGTTCATGCGGGATTCGCTGCTAATGCCGAGGAAGAACAATTACTGGAAATCAAAGGAAAAAAAAAAAGAGCACCACTAAACCCTAAACCCAAGAAAGCGAGGAGGAAGAACACTTACTGCAGCGTCGGATGTCGAGTCCTCTGGCATCTGATGATTGATTCGCCCCGCCGCCGCTGCCGCCATCGCCGCGGAGCTGGAATCCGTGAGAAATGGCCGCCGATCCGACCACGCATTCAGCACGTCCTCGTAATCCAGGCGGAGGCAAATCCGGCGCTGCAAATGCTGGGCGTGCATCTGCTGGAGATCGCGGTCGTAGCAGCTCTCCCCGAGCTTGAGCCCTAAAATCTCGCCCAGGATGCCCTCCCGGCATGGCTTGAGAAATTCCTCCTCCCCAAGCCCTACAATGTAGGGGTCGTGCTCCTCGGCCTTGACCCTCCCGCGGTGGAATCCACCCTCACCATCGCTGCCGTCCATCCCCAGGTTGCCGAATTCTGGAATGCGCTGCTGCTTGCGCATCGCCTGGTTCTTCCGGATCGCAAAGTCGAAGCGCTGCTCGTCGTCATCGTCACCATCGTCGTCCACGAGCTCCTCCAGGGAATTGCTCCCTAGGCCCAGGAGGCCGTTGAGATCCTCGCACGTGGCGGCCGTGGGCGCCACGATCAAGCCTCGCCCTTGCTCGGCATGGTCGTGGCCCTCTCTCTTGTGTTCTTGCGGATGGGAGTAATCGTCGTCCTCGGACAGGACGTGATCCGCGTTGAGGAAGCGATCGATGTCGCCGGCATCGTCGGATTCCTCGTCGCAATCTCCCAGATCCGTCGCGATTCCAGACGCTGGCGAGTGCGAATGCTGCTCCTTGTCCTCCTCGCTCGATCGATCCGGCTCCACTGGCTGGACGAACACCGGCACCGTGTGCGCCAATTCCTCCTCGTGTTGATCTTCTCGCCGGCGATTCTCCCCTTCCTCGCGGCTGTTGCAGTTCTTGGAGCCCTCTGGCGATTGCGATGGACTGGACGACTCATTCTCACCGGTAACCTGGCGCTGCGACGTCGTCTCCTCGTCCAAAGGCTTGATCATCCTGTTGTTCTTGCAGATTGGGGAGGAGAAGGAGATATTTCGGCGCGGCCGCTTGTTCTTGCCGCAAGAATCCCACGAATCCTTCTCCTGCTCCTGGCAGGCATCCTCTTCTTTCTTGGAGGCGGCCGAGGAGTTCGTCTTCACGGGTTCCACGGCCTCCACTTGAAGGCTGACGCGCTCGTGGCGCAGCGAGAAAGCATTGGCCGAGTGCACGGATTGATCGCAGGAGTGGCAGAGGTAGGCATCGTCGGCGGGGCAGAACCAGAGCGCGCTCTTGGCCTTGCATGCGTCGCACAGATCGTCGCGCTTCTTCTTCCTGCGGATCGATCTTCCAGAGCTGGCTAGAGCGGCCATCTGCGGAGCTGGAGTTGGCTGCTGGAGCTGTGCCTGGTGATGGAGATGCAAGGACGAGGAGGAGGACACCACCGAGGCGGTGCTGCTGTTGCTCCTCAGATCTTCCTCCTCGTCCGAGACCGCTGGAGGAAGCGACGTCGTCGCGCAGCGATTCATCCTCGGTCGATGGCCCCTAAAGGAAATTGTGTACGAAAGTATCAAGGAAGTGCGCTGGAGAGGAGACTACTTTAGCTTCTTCCGGATCATCGCTAGGCGCCGGCGGCTCATGGTAAGATCTTCCCTTCTCTTCTCAACACCTCTCGGGACTTGACAGGCCCCTAGAGTTGGATCCCAATTGCTGCCCAGTGCGCTGGAGCAAGCTCGAAAGTTCCAAGCCTCTAGGATCAGCAGCAGCAGCAGCAGCAGCAGTAGCGTCGACAAATCTTGGAGCAAGTAGCTCCATTTCCAAAAACAGATCAAAGAGGTACCTCTCTATCCTTGGTTCTAGATCAAAATGCCAGGAAAAGGAGAGCTACTCTAGAATGAAGAATCAAGAATGCCAGGGGCAAGGACACGACAATTCCAATATCTCTCTCTCTCTCTCTCTCTCTCTGCTCTGTAAACTTCTCGCTTGATCTCGCTGCCATCGCTCTCCTTCAGCTCCTCTCATCTCGCTGCCTCGCTCTCTTCAGCTCCTCTCTCTGTCTCTCTCTCTCCCTGCAATGAATTAAGTTTGTGAATCCCTCTCATCCTTTTGCTTTCGTTCTCCTGTCTTCATGCCCCTCCTTTCCTCTCCCTCTCTCTCTTCTGGGTCCTCTTTTTCCCATAAAGAAATTGCCAGGGCCATCGAGCTCGGCGCACATTCGTCGCATATGCCGCCATCCGACGGCCGCGATTGCGCTGCAGTCAATTTACAGGAATCGGCCCCAGTATACAAATCAACGTTTTCTTTTTCCAGGAATCGCCTGTAAGATCCATACAAGTGCTAACCTCTCATTCGTTTACAGAAGCACAGGAAAATGCAGCCCACTGCCCAAGGGCACTGAAGCTTGAAGGGAACCAAAATGATAAGATATTTGGTTTTTCTTCCCCTTTTGTCTAATGGTTGTGTTGTACAGACTCAGTTCACTGAGATCTCACCACCCTCTGCCCCAATAAGTTCTTGAAACCTAAGTGTGTTTTCATTGCCCGCCACCTTTATGGTATATCATCGAGGCATCTGGTTCTCGTGGGGCCGGCCGACCACAACCAACAACGTGGCGTGGGACGGGACGGACTAAGAAATGGGGAAATGGTGGTGGGTGTTTGAATGCAAAGGGCTTGGCTTTCATTTTCTGCCCGCCACCTTTTCTTCTTCCTACTTTTTCCCTCTCTCTGTGTTCTTTTCAAAGTTTGCATTTTTCTGCATTGGAAAAAATTGGCTCGTTAGATGTCGCTGTTGGATGCCCTCTTCGTTCGTCTGCTGTGTGGGCTTTGTGACGAGCAAAACAGCGCCCCCTGCATGCAAACGTCAAAACAAATGGATTTCATCAGTCCTGCTGCCGCTGCCGCTGCTGCTGCTGCGTTGATTGATGGATTCTTTGCTTTCTTGCTTGTTGCAGGGTGCTCTGTCTCTCGCCCTTACCTGATCATCATCAGCTCGCGCCATTCCGCGCAAGTCAGGGTCAGGGGCTTTCAGAGAGACGGGCGAGACGAAATGAGAGAGCATTAAGTGGTGATCTCGACGCGGCCCACAGTTTATTTGCAGCAGAGATGGGCTAATTTGCCACGAAACGGCATTTGCGGGATTGGCGTTGAAATTCTAGCGTGATCTCGACCCCACTCTGATGAGTTGTTTAGCCCCATTCTTACTTGTCTCCTCTCTGATCTATCAATCAAAGCTCACTCTTTCTTTCTTTCTCGCTCTCTCTGGGCGGAGACTGAGACGTCCCCCTCGCTGACAAAATGTCCCATTCCCCACCTAGGAATTCTTCCGTACGCCGCTCAAACCCTAGTTAAAAGTGGATGGAAAAATCTCCATAACCTCATCCATCCAGGGGAGGAAAAGTGGCCACCTTATCGCCCTCGGGCGCGCGCTTTCCTTCCGCCACGTGTGCCAATCGCATTGGAAGCCCGACGAACCCCTCTTATCCGTCGATCTGTCCAACGAAAAGTTCCTCCTGGTGGTAGTCACGGCCGTACGCCTCTAGAAAGTGTCCGTACATCCGGGAGATTAGGTTAAGCAGAAATAGTCACCGGCTGTTTTTGTTTTGTCACGGGAATCGATCCGCGGATTTCCGCCCTGGGCAATGAGCTCTAGGGCTTCCTCGTCGCGACAGGAATGCGGGGGAGAGCCGCGGCGGCCCGAGATCCAGGTACGAGGGTTTCGATTCGAGCTGCCGGGAGCGCGGCGGTGATGGCAGCTCTCTTTTCTGAGGTGCCAGGCGACCTCCTCTTCCTTTTTAGGGTTTTGAGGCCATGATGGAGGAGCACGAGTGTGCATGCGGCGAGTCCGTGGCGGCCGCCTCGCCCGACGAGGCCGGGGACGACGCCGCACCGGCTCTGGAATCGATCTCCGGGGGCAAAGTGATGGAGCAGAGATTGAGCTCGGCTACCGTGGTTTTCGAGGGTAAGGTGGAAACTAGGATGGACGGGGACGTGGTTGTGGCCGCTAGCGACTCGGTTAAGTCGGAAGAAGGCAGTGATGGAAGGCAGCCGGACGAGGTGAAATTGGAGGAGCTCGAGGAGAGCGTCTTGCCGGTGCTCAAGGCGACGCAGCCTCTGAGGGAGTATAAGAAGCGCAAGAGGGATGTTAGCGGAGAACTCGACTTCGAGGTTTTGATGGGGAGCGCGGACAAGATGCCGGCTCAGCAAGAGTGTGAGGCTTTTCCGGCCGTGTCCGTGGGCTTGAAGCCGGATCAGCTCAGCTCCACCGAGAGGGTTCGTTTCAAAGAGGTTGTGAAGCGCAAGACGAAGGTTGCCGAGTATCTGGAATGCAGGTAACTGTGCTGTTTTTCTCGGCTGCTTTACTGCTGAAGGCTTATTGGTCTGCAAGCTTTGCTGCAGGAACTTTATATTGCAGCTGTGGACGAAAGATGTGCGGCGCCATTTGACTGTCGCGGACTGTGGCGTGAGTGAGGTAGCGCAGCTCAACGAACCGCCTCGAGCTGGACTTGTCCGAAACATTCATGAGTTTCTAGACTATCACGTAAGCGTCCGAAGCCTTTTCTAGTTTCTTCAAAAGTAGTAACGTTCTTGAGCTTTTCAGGGATACATTAACACTGGCATCGTGAAAAGAGTCAAGTTCGAAGAACAACAGGGTGAAGAATTCAGGGAAGGGACAGGGGATGAACCCTTGGGCTTCATCCACAAAGTACAGGAAAACGGACATATTCCTGCTTCAGATGCCACAACACCAATGGATATAGATGGCAGCGCAGATGTTTCAAGTGACAGGGAGAAGGGCCATGATAGGAAACGGATTATAGTTGTAGGTGGTGGTCCGGCTGGATTAGTTGCCGCGAGGCATATGCAGCGTATGAACTTCGACGTAATGATTCTTGAGGCTCGGGATAGAGTTGGCGGTCGAGTGTATACTGATCGCTCGACGTTTTCAGTGCCGGTAGATTTGGGAGCTAGCATTATTACAGGTGTAGAAGCTGATGCGGAAAGAAGAGCGGACCCTTCGGCTTTGATCTGCAGGCAGCTTGGTCTCGGACTAACGTCGGTTCGGGGGGATTGTCCGCTGTATGATAGTGTAACAGGTCGTAAGGTTCCGGCTGACATAGACGCAGCTCTCGAGGACAAGCTGAATACTCTACTGGATGATACTATTACCATAGTGGCTCAAAACAGCGACGCGGCACTACGAATGTCACTTGAGGAGGGTCTTGAGCAAGCGCTTTCGAAGCGGAAGGGATTACATATACCGAAGAGCACAATCCTCGACCAAAGTCAAGTTACAGTCGCGGATGTGACGCAGGCGAAGATAACTGAGCTTGCGAGCAGTGCTCCAGATCCTTCGACTGAGGACGGTGTACTGCATCAACAAGACGGTTTAAGCTGTTCGCTTGAGCTTGAAAGACGAATCATGGATTGGCATTTTGCGAACCTGGAGTACGGCTGCGCTGCTCAGCTGGAGAAAGTATCCCTCGCCTACTGGAACCAGGACGATACTTACGGCGGTTTTGCTGGGCCACACTGCATGATAAAGGGCGGGTATGGCACTTTGGTGGAAGCTTTAGCTCAAGGTTTGGACGTGAAGCTCGGGAGAGTAGTTACAGAAGTTTCATACACTGCAAAGGACGTCCATATCAAAACCGGGAAAAAGAAGCAAGTGAGAGTGAAGACAGAGGATGGCGAAGTCCACATGTGCGACGCTGTTCTGGTAACAGTTCCGCTTGGGTGCTTGAAAGCCCAGTCCATCAAGTTCGTCCCGCAACTACCGTCCTGGAAGTCCGGTTCCATTAGTCGGCTTGGCTTTGGTACGCTGAACAAGGTCGTGCTCGAATTCGAGACCGTGTTCTGGGATGAGAACGTGGATATATTTGGTGCTACTGGGGAAGACACAGAGTCCCGCGGCAGATGTTTTATGTTCTGGAATCTGGTCAAGACAGTCGGTGCTCCGGTTCTGATAGCGCTCGTAGTGGGGAAAGCTGCAGTGGACGACGCAAAGTCTGGCTCGTCTTTCCTCGTGTCTCATGCTGTTGAGATCCTTCGGAAGCTTTACGGTCGTACGAAAGTTCCGGAGCCCAAGACTTTTAAAGTGACAGACTGGGGATCAGATCAGTACAGCAGAGGTGCGTATTCTTACGTAGCTGTTGGTGCTTCTGGCGAAGACTACGATATACTGGGACGACCTGTGGAAGATTGCGTGTTTTTCGCGGGTGAGGCAACTTGCAAGGAGCACCCTGATACCGTGGGAGGAGCCATTTTGAGTGGTCTGAAAGAGGCTGTGCGGATACTTGATATTTTGGAAAACAGAGGGGACCTGATTGAAGAGGCTGAGGAAATGACTGCCGCACAGAGGCAACCTGACAGCGAGAGAAACGAAGTTAGAGACATGCAAATCAGGATTCAGGCTGCCGAGTATGCAAACAATAAGTACAGGGAAGGAAACTCTTTGGATGGCGAGGATGAGCCTTTCACGAGAGCGGACCTCTTAAAAGACATGTTCCGAAACGCTAAGACTACAGCCGGAAAATTGTTTCTGGCAAAAGAGATGACCGGACTGTCAGCGTCCTCCGTGAAGGGTTTTGTGGGAACTAAAACTGGACTCTCAATATTGAACTCATGGATACTGGTACGCCATTGTAATTTTCCTTATGCTTTAAACTCATGGTTTGGTGCAGGATTCTATGGGAAAGGATGGAACACAACTCTTACGACTCTGTCTTCGTCTTCTTCTTACCGTAGCTACGGATATGCTTGCTGTTCGTCTTTCTGGTACGCTTTTCTTTGTCCATATTTATTCTAATAGTCGACGTACAGGTATTGGAAGAACAATTAAAGAAAAAGTATGCCAACACACATCGAGAGATATCCGCGCATTGGCAGGCCAACTGGTGGCGATGTGGTGCGAGTTTTACCGTCGGGAAAAGGCCATGCTGAAGCAGTTTAGGAAAAACGTCGTGAAAAAGGAGGACGATACTGCTGTTTCTTCTGCTCCCGCATGCTCATCGTCGCAAAGGGACCACAGCCACGGAAATGCTGAACAGGCGACCAGTAGACACGAGCAGAAAAACGGTGCTTCGAGTTCAGAAGGTCCGGTAGAATTTGAATCCGGAGAAAACGAGCCTCTTATTTCGGACTTGGAGGCTGCTGCTCGTGCCAGGGCGGAAGCGTGTCAAGCTGCCGCTCTTGCTGCTGCTGAGGTTTTACGTTATCTCTCAAACCTTGTGGATACTTACCTTTTTTTCTGTAGGCGTATGCAAATGCCGAAGCCGAGCGAACAGCTCTCCCTGAACCCCCGAAGATCTTGTCTTTTCACAAATTTGCAAAGCGGGAAAAGGTCGTGACGAAAGATGTTCCAGTGGACCTGAAGAGAAGGAAATTCCCCGAGGTTCTGAATCGGAGGCCGAGCGATGGCTCTCGGAGACTTTCGGGCTTGCCTTTAGATCTCAGTGGCAGCTGTAGTAACGCAAGTAGTCCGAACGTTGTTCTGCAAGGCGAAGGTAATTCACAGGTCATGGGTGAGTATCTCGGACCGCAGCATCAGGAACAGGTTATAGATGCAGAGATGGTTGGGAAAGGGACAGCAAACTTCGAAACTTTTAGTGTGGGCGATAGGCTGAGGGATGACAGGAAACGACGGGGATTTCCATCCGAATCCTATGAAGTTAAGGACCGTTGCACTCCGGATCAGATCAAGAAGGCTTTATCAGAGTACGTTGTCCATTTATTGACACCTTTGTACAAGACCAGAAAGATCCAGAAGGACGCGTTCAAAGCCATCGCAAAAAAGACAACCATGAAGGTAAAAAAACTCTACTTGCACTTGTTGATTTAGTGATTATTGGTATAGGTGATGGAACGAGATGGGATACGCGATACTGACGTAAACATTTCAGACTATCTTAACGGCAAGAGGAAGAATAAGGTTTGTGTTTTGTGTTTTGTTCTTCCTGTTTGTAGCCTATAATGATGATGAACTGTTGCAGATAAGAGAACTCGTCGACAAATTTGTGGAAAAGCACCTCGCGGAGACGAAGCAATCGGCAGGTTCCCCCGGCAACTAACGGAGACAATCTCCTCGCAAGGTCGGCTGGACGTAAGATTTTCTGGCATTCTTTGAGGGGGAGGACGATTAGTCTGTTTATATTGAGTGGCAGAGTTTCTTTTGTAGACTGACTATGAAGCCTGCCTATAGGATATGCTCTCAGCTTTTGGCTTGGAAGAGCTTGGAGAGGAGCACTTCCAGAATAGATTTGGTGCTCTCCTATGTTCTAGTCGAGTGGTAATGTTCACTAGTTTATGATTTAAAAGTTCCTTTTTACTCTTTGTGCAGGGATGCAAGCAAGGCCAAAGCTTAGCGTGATGCTTTCTTCCTGGAGAGGTATGTTCCCAGTATACTCTTGCTCTGTTCAAGCTCCGACTCTGGCGACTCTTCTTCGTCCAGTGCTGTTCTTCGGTGGTGTTTGCTGTTAGTGCTCCGGTCACTGAGAAGCTTGGATGCTTTTCTCCACCTCTTCAGCTCGCTCTCTATGATCAGCTTCTCAGCTTCCGTGGTCTCCGCTTTCCTAGATGCTCTGTTTGCTGCCATCTTGGCTTCGTCCAGCTCCTCCCTCAGTGCGTCTAGCCTGATCATCATGTGTTGTTCTCGAATCCTGGCGGCGCTGGCCTCGCTAAGCGCTGCTGTTATCTTTCGGTTTGCTGACGATTCTTTCACGTCCAGTGACTTCTTAAAATCAATGAAGAGCTGCTCTATAGAACTGAGCTTATCTGCGTTGTTCTCCATACTGGATTTGAGTTGCTCGCCTTCTACTCTGGCTTTTTCTTTCTCCGCTATCAGAGCGGCCTTCAGTTCATCTGCTTCAGTGTTTGCATGCATCAAAGCGTCCTTCAACTTTGAGTGTTCTTCCTGGAGCAGCTTCTCTCTTTCTTTGAGGGCGCTGAGCTTGCTCGCTAACTCTGCTGTTTCTTTTGCATGTTCATCGACCAGGCCGGATTGCTGGAGCCTTACCTCGTTCAGCTCCGCTGTTGTGGCCTTCACAACCTCTTGTGCTTCTGCCAGTTCGCCTCTCAAGGTAAGGCTTTTCAGCTTAAGCCTTGCTACCTCTCCAAATAGAGATTTATAGTCAGTGTTGGCCAGCTCTAACGTCCTCTTTGTAGATCTGATCATTTCCATCTCATCTCCCGTGTCCATTAACCTGTGCAGTTCCCTCCTCGACTCTTCTAGCTCTCGCGCCAGGCTATCCAACAAATCATTCGCGCCGGCAAGCTCTTGCATCGTATCAAACGCCAGCTGCTGCAGTTTAGCCAGCCCTTCAGCGATGTTCTCGCTTCCCGTCAGGTCTGTGACGAGCTTCTCAACTTTTGCAACCTCCGCCTGGAGTTCTTCGGTTTGCTTTCGATGCTCAGTCTTCATCATTTCTGCTTCCTCCTTCAAAGCTGAGCGTGCTGTCTGTGCTGCTTGGGTCACCATTTCGCTGTGCTTCTGAGCCTCGACTCTAGCGCTATCACAAACCTGTACTGCGATCATGGCTGCATCGAGCTTATTTGCCATTTCATTCGCCATCTCACTCGCCATCTTCTTAGTCTCGTTACCTTCCTTGACTGCCTGTAACCATTTTTCTTCTGACAAAGCTAACTCGGTTTTAAGTTTCGCAATCTCGTTCTTGGCAGTTTTCAGCTCCTGCTCCACCGCAGCCAGTTTCTAACAAGGTTGAACGAGTCAGAAGAAAAAGGAACAAGAAGGTAACTCACCTCCACCACGTTTGGTTTCGGTGCTTTTTCCACCACTTTCTCGCCATAGTTGCTAACAGCCTCTCGCACAGACGGGAATTGTAGCGCCGAGCGCGTGGATCTCGCGTCCAAGTCCATGTCCGCTCTAGTTCGGCACGCACAGCCCATGCAGTAGCTCCGGAACATCGAGTCGGGAGCTCCAACTCTCGCAACTTTAAAAGTGTCGTGTTCTACTGCCGCTCCTCGGTTTTCTGGTCGCGAGCCAACACGGTACATTGCAATTCTCGTCGATAGCTTCAGCTTGGCTCTCTCTCTTTTGTCTGGAGCTATTCACTCGCTAGTGAATGCTGGATTGCAGGTGCCATTAGCGATGCGTATATCCATCATCCATATCCACGGGAGATTTTCGTTCGGCCGGTATGTCTCTCTCAACATTTTTTTTTTTTTTGCTGTTTTTCGGCCTCTTTTTTATTTTTGGAGTACGATGCCTGTTGCTATGGTTGTGACACGTGGGCCAGTCGTTGCTCGACAGACGCGATCGCGCCAGCTGGAAGCGTGTCCAGTGCCATCCTCTGCCGCGTGTTAGCTGCCGTGTCGCCTTTTATATAATTCGTGGGAAGCAGAGGCAAGTGTTGTGCTTTTCTTGTTTCCTGGCTCATCTCTATCCATCGCAGCTTTGATTCTAAGTGGGAGTCGCAGGCGATCGAAATGGCTGGCGCCACTTTCATCGATGTTTTGCTGGCCATCATCCTCCCTCCGCTGGGGGTTTTCCTAAGATTCGGCTGCGCGGTGAGTTTTTGATCTTTCTCTTGCTCTTTCGAAGTCGTTTCCGCTTGAATGCGTTCCAAAGCTGGAGCTAATTCGGTGGTTTGTGGTTTTCTCTCAGATTGAGTTCTGGATATGTCTGCTGCTCACAATTCTCGGCTACATCCCGGGGATCATCTACGCAATCTACGTGCTGGTTGGATAAGTGACTTCGTTGTGGTGCTCCCTCGTCGCTGTAGATACTTAGCCTGGATTGGAAGCGAACGAAACGGAAAAAATAGGGGGGAGAAAAAAAAACAGTTACGAAGGTAGCAACGCCTAATAAGCTCTTGTTAAATTGGATGCTACCATAATGGTGGAATTTTTTCTCGCGTAGAGTAAAAAATGTTGTGGTGATTTTACTTCGAGGAATCTATCCATTTGGTACACCTGCGTTTTCAGCCAGCCAGCCCGCCACGTGGCATTGCTAGCTAGCTGTTTTTAGTGTGTGTTTTTGCATTGTGGAGCTTAGGGTTTCTATCTTGGCGAGGCGGGGCGGGGCGATCTCGGCGCTACAAGAGGTACATTCTAATTGCGAGCTCGGCGATCGATTTGGATCGTTCTCGTTGTGTAGCAGAAGAGATTTCTCGCGGCGGCGGCGGCGGCGGCAGCGGCATGGACGATAGCACCACGGCGACATGCCTGGAAATCCTCCTGGCGATTCTTCTCCCGCCAGTGGGGGTTTTCTTCAAGTATGGATGTGAGGTAGGCTCGCCAAAAACTTTCCCACTCTTTTCTCAGCCCTTTTTTTTTCTGCGTTTGCTTTTCTCTGTAGCCACTTAGAGGAAAGTAAAGTAGATTAGAGGGACGTGCTCTGCTTTGTTGACTCTCATCGTCATGATCCCGCCTCACTTTTTCTTCCCGTTTCCGACCAGGTCGAGTTTTGGATCTGCCTGCTCTTCACGGTTCTCGGTTACTTGCCGGGGATCGCCTTCGCAGTCTATGTCATACTTTGCAGGCGTCGTAGCTTCGGGCGTGAGCCTCTCGTCCGCTGAGAGTCACTCCACTCTCTTTCTTCCACCGCCACTCTTGTTTCCAAGAGCTGTGAAATAAACGCTGTAGACTTTTAGATTGTCTTTGTTTCTGGCCTGATGTTGATGGTGGTTTTGTTTCTTCTGTTTGTTTCGTCTCCGGCCCGCCTGGAATCTCTTCCGTGGCAGATCGAGTTCTGGATTTGCCTGCTGCTCACGGTCTTCGGCTACATCCCTGGGATCATCTACGCCGTCTATGTCATTGTGGGGCGCTAGACGTCTATAAAGCCTTCCCAAGTAAAAGAGAGCGCTGGGATCTGGCCGTGCTTTGTTTGTGTGACTCAATTCTTTGATCAGAGGACGCTGCAACATCATCGTTATGTATTAGTCTCTCTCGAGTTCCTGCTAAACAAACAGTGCCTAACGTACGTCCGTAGCTATCTTCTAGTTCCTAGTCTACGATGTTTCTATAACCTTACTTCTCTCAATAGTTTTGTTGCCATCTCCGAGTAAATAAACACAGTCGTGCTCATACTTTCCTGGCGAATAACACCATTGATATTATACTATTCATTTGCTTACCTACTCGTAACTTATGGTCGCGCGGCCTCTTGCTCTGCTTCCTGAGAATGAGAGAAGATAACTTAGAACCTTTGCATTCGTACCAAATCGCTTCTTACTTCTTCGTCGTCTTCATCCACTTTGTTTGTCTTCCAGCAGAGTAGACTGGCACCTTGCTTTTGCCGAGCACTTGGTTTCCTGGAAGGACAAGAAAAACTAACTGTTAACACTAGTAGTAGCAAAAGATAATCACTACTCAACTGGTTCTTGGACTCGACGTGCTGCCCCGCTTCCGAGCAAAGATCCGTGCTAAAGTTTCGCACCGTCTTAAGCTTGAACCGTCTGCCTTGAATCTGGAGCATTTGTCTGCCTTGTTGACGCAGTCCCCAACCTTTGGTGCCATCGTTCTCCGAGTGGTTCTCGGAGCTGCCAGACTTTCTGTGCGAAAAGTCTTCAAAGTCCCACGAGCCTTTCGGGAACTCGTCGCCCTCGCGCTTGACGTTCCCGATGAAGACGGGAAATGACCGAGAGTTGAGATACTCGGCTTGCGGTACGGATGACTTTGCAGGCGAGGCCGGAACTTTGAACTCCGCTGAAACGGGCAAGAGTTTCTGCTCGTGGCTTTTGGACTTGGTATCTTCGTCTCCAGAGAGGTGGAGGCGAATCTCTACCGGAAAGCCGAGAACTAGTTGAAACGCGTGAGATATGCTGGTTTTTGACCTCTCGGCGCTTGTTCTGTGGTCAGCCTGTAGAAATTCCAAATGTGCTACTGCACGACCTGAGTAAACCATTTTGTGAAGAGGAGAAAGCATTTCAACGGTCATTTACCTCCTTCAATTGATATTGACGACAGTCTACTGTGGTTCCAAAGAAGCTGCTTGAGAATGCTGGACTGGCTGACTTCCAGAACCCGTATCCAAGTGTCCAGTAGCTTTTGCTGACGCTCGAGCGCAACCCTGTCACCTGCGCATGGAAGAACACGTAGGAAACAAAGAAATTCTACCACTCAAAGTTCCAACCTTCTCCAAGTGCCGATGGTTGTTGTGCTGTGGTGTCCTGACCATTTAAGTTGTTCTCAGCGTCAACCTGAAGGGAATTCAGGTGTCCAGAGAGAACAGCTTGGTGCTTTAAGTTGTTCTCTGCGTCAATCTGAAGGGAATTCAGGTGTCCAGAGAGAACAGCTTGGTGCTGATGTTCTACGTCATCCCAGGACTCTTTTGTTAGCGGAGGTTCCCACTCTATTGTCTCCTTCTCGCTCGTGTCATTAGCTGCTAATATGCTGGGTGTATTGCTTGTTCTACCAGAGGACCCAGGAAATCCAGAGTGAGGATCAGGAGCAAACTGTAGTAAAGCGGCCGTCAGCCATGTTGTCTGATCTTGAGAAGATCGTATTTGCTTCTCAGATTCCGACAGCGTTTTGAGAGCATGTCGCAGCTTCTCCAGCTGATCTTTAGACACTGACGACATAAAGTTCAAATTTGTTTAGAAACTGTTTGAAAAAACTCAAGATAATACTCACATGCGTGCTTATGAAAAAATCCCTTGTCGCTTGCTGGCATGTATCCACCTGCTAGGATGTCCGTTATCAGGGTGGCGATCTGGGACATGAGAGCTAGTGGCTCAACACCTGCGTCCATGAACTCTCTAATGCACTTGACAGTGTTCAGTGTGTCCCCAGTAAGAGCCATGTCCAGCAAATCCGCCAGCTTTGCATTGGACACCAGCCCAACCTGAAAAAAATTCGTACAATGTTAGTCATGATCTAGAAAAAATCTCTAAGAATAAACTAGAAACCACAGCACACTAACCCCTGAAACATACAAGCTCTTGCACCACTTCTAGAGTGATCTTCTGTCCCACGAGACTAAGTTGATCCAGTGTTGTTTCAGCATCCCTGAGCGAACCACCAGACCTTGCCGCGATGAGGTCGAGCGCATCTTTCTCCACCTCCAAGCTTTCCTTTGCAGCGAGAGCCTGCAACCTGCTCACCACGTCCGAGTCCTTGATCTTGGGAAAATGGAACTTTTGACACCTTGTTGACGCCGGATGTGGCAACTGCTCCGTGTCAGTCGTGGTGAGAATGAAAACCGCGTGCTCTGGGGGTTCTTCGAGGCATTTCAGAAACACGTTCCACCCCTCTGCTGTGAGTGTGTGGCACTCGTCAATGATGAAAACTTTGTAACGACCTGATGACGGCCCAACCACAGCGTCCATTAGCAGCTTCTTCATTAGACTTGTTGAGTCGTGACTTGCAACGTCCACTTCTTTCACGTCTCCGCTTTTCCCCAGGCAGAGAAGCAAGCACTCTCTGCAGACTCCACAGGGCCGAGTATCTTCCACAGAGACGCAGTTCAATGCCGCCGCCAAGATTTTAGCAGCCGAAGTCTTTCCAGTTCCACGAGGCCCATGGAACAAATATACCGGTGCTATCCTCCCCCTGGTCACGGCATTGCCAAGAGCTTGCACCAACATGTTCTGTCCAACTATATCCCTGAAGGTCTTGGGACGGTACTTCTGGCTCAAGCTCCTGTGCCTTTTCCCATTCGAGAGCCTGTCCAAATCCGTCTCCAAACTACCAGCCAAAAGTGACAGGTTCGAGATAGCAGCAGCACTATCTGTGTTTGCAGAAACCGGTATGTTCCCAGGAGCCGGGATCATCTCTTGACCCGTGATCTTCCTCCTTGGAATGTCCGGATAGCAGGAGAGACTTTTCCCGGCTACTTCGAGGAGGTTCTTTCCTTTGTGCCTTGGCCAGTAAGACCATGGGAGGCCGCACCCGTGACTGCCTTCAGTCCCGTCGTAAGCATCGGCTTCATGGCCCTTTCGTGGCAGGAACTTCTTGTATGGATGGGAACCCATAGAAAAGCCAAAGTTTGCACATCCGAGGTCCCCCGTCGCTAGCTTTCTATGGCGTCTCACCCTCCGCTCTTTCTGCATGGCAAGTAACGGAGAGTGCAAGTGAGAAACTAAGCCGTCTGTTTCGTCGTCGGAAGAACTGTCGGACTCCTCGTAATCGTAGCCTGGATCCGCTTCGTGCCTTGTCACGGCCAATGCTTTCTCCAGTTCATACCCTTCCTCCTCTTGCTCCCTCCACGCAATTCTTCCGCCTCTTCTGCTGCCACCTTCCTTCTGGTGCCTGTTCCTTCTCAAGTTTTGCGGAGGCCTCTGGTGCTCCAGGGATCCAATTTTCCGCAGCTTTGTGTTGGCGCTGGAGCTACTATCCGGAGCATCCATCTTTTGATTCAGTATCTCGCTGATGCTCCGAAGAAGCGCCTGCTTTCGCTCACCTTCCCGAAGACCACCATCTATCCAGTTGACGACTTTGTCCTGCCATTCCGTTCTAAGTTGATCCTGCTCAATCTCCTCCTCTCCGTAGCCATCTTGATCCACACTTTCCCCTTGAAAACTTGCTGCCGCTTTCGCAAGCTTGGCTTCTCGTCCACGAAGACGAGCAGGGAGCTCCTTGTCTAGCCTATTGTTGGTGCTGTTATGTTGAGGAGGCAAGCCCGACTTCCAAACGGAGCTCGTAGACGGATCCCTCAGCGATGGCGCCCGACTTAGAGCGGACAACTCTCTGAGTAGAGGATCCGGAGCTCCCACTCTCTGCTGCGGCTGCCTTTGAAACTGTGACTTGGCCTTCGAGGAGTTGTGTACAGCGCCTTGCTGATACGATTGATGGTACTCGTTTCCCATGCTCCTGAAAACCAAAGGGTGAGGAAGAGAAAAGAAGGGACATGATTTGGAAAATATTACGATGTGCAAGGCAAAAGCAAAGACAAAGAAGGGAGAAAGAGGAGAGCAGGAAAATCGAGAGTGTCCCCGGTACTTGCCTCTCGCTCCGAAATATATGCACTATCCCGACGAAGATTCACTTCCCCTGTCTGCCAGGGTCCCAGAACTACCGATCTACCCCGCCTTCGAGAAGCACGGCATTGATCACTCACATTTCACGAGTGCGATAGCGAAATCCACAGCTCCGCGGAAATGTGGATTTGCAACGCCGACGGTCCCTGAAAACCTCTGGAAATCCATGGCCTCGCACACCGATTCGAAGAAATCACAAGCCAATACCTCGTAATATCGCTCGATCAAGGGCAGCGCCATCGGGATGGAGCTGGCGCCTGTGTGCCGGCATTCAAGCCGCTAGCTGAGGTGAGAGGGAGCCAAGAACACCGTACAAACGTGCCTCTTTTAGGGTGCTTGAGGCCGTATCGTAGAGGTCCCATAGTATTGTACGTGGATGGCAACTTGATTGATTTATGCCTTATCCGTATACGTACTGACCCAGCGGGTGACGATACCCCCCTTTTGTTTTCTGTTCCTCCATAGCCATGGACGAAAAACATTTTCCCGCCAAATTTGACGGTGCGGATGCGCTGCAGCGCCCACTTGGTCGGTGGATATTCCTCCATGCATGTGGCGCTGTTGTGTAACGCTCATTTTTCCATCACAGCGCAGCGCTTTGGATTGTATTGAGGATATTTGCGATTAAATTTTGCTATACTTTTAGGACACCACGCCCCAGATCGTGTGACGATGTTTATAAAACCCATTTGGAGAAAGAATCGCGCGCCCGCCACGCTTATCATAAGAGCCCCCCACATTGTGATTATATTACCATTAACTCGGCCAATGGGTGGAGCGATTGCATTGAACACACGAGATTGGGAGAGAGCTTGATTTCATCTAGGCCAAATTTTTGTTCTTTAGCTTGTTTTCTATGGCTGGAGAGGCTGGATCGATCAAATCCATGGATTGAGTGAGTGGTGGGGAGTTTGACCGAGTTACCGACAAGGGCTGCGAGCAAAGAGCCAGCAAATCATGGGTCGCCTGTCTATAAGGTGACAAAACGAACATGCAAACACAGTCTGGGCTTTTCCGAGTTGAGAGAAGGCCCTTTCTTCTCCTTGAATGGGATATTATGGCATTGCTAGGGATTCAGGGATCTTATACACTGACACTTCACTTTAAAAGTTGTTACTTTATCATAATCATAAGATATTAGTTGGAAATAAAATATTGAATTTTGATTTAATAATGATAAATAGGATTTATTTTCTCGCTAGAAGGAGGGCTCGAACCTCCGACCTTGTGGTTAACAGCCACACGCTCTGACCAACTGAGCTACTCCAGCAAGTTGATTGTACTCACTTGAAATGGGAATTTAATAAGTATTAATTGATTAATTCGTTAGCTTTTTAAGAATGGAATATTCTATAAGGTTTTAACACGGTGGAAGCACACGGTGGAAGAACACGGATGGCGGCTCCAGCTCCAGCTCCAGCTCCATTTCCAGATTCCCACAATGATGAGTCGCTACTGAGGTCCGGCCACGCCCTGGCTTGCGCGATTTCATGGGGGATCCTCGTCCCAATGCTCGTCTACAGGGAGAATTTCCTGCCCAGTCCCCTGCCGCGATCTCACATCCTTCTCAAGGCGGCGCTCTACGCCATCGCCGCGGCCGCGACGGCGATCGGGTTCTGGGCGAGCGTGATCTCTCACGGCGGCATCGCCAACCACAAAGCCCACTTCGGCATCGCGATCGCGCTGCTGGCGATGGCATTTCTCCACCTGGTGGGAGTCAAACATCGGGTGTGGGGCATCGAAATCTTTGGTCTCGTCGTCATGGTTCTCGCCATCACCGATGTGTTTGGTGGATTCGGGATCCTCCGGCCGCACCGCGTGTGGCGAATCGCCTACGTTTCGATCATCGCCACGCTCATCGCCATTGTGGGCTGCTCGATGTGCTGCCTCTACTGCTGCTTCCAGGGAGGGGTGCTCTGTTTCTTTACGTTTAGGAGGCATGTACAGGCCGAGGATGATTTCTAGCTTTGATCTTGCGAGACAGAGCAATGGAATTTCTTCAATTTCTTCAAGAAAACAGAGTGGATCTCGCTCTAGGAATTGGCTAAATAGGCCGAGGATGAATTCTAGCCTTGATCACACTGGGCTCTTGCGAAACAGAGCAATGGAATTTCATCAATTTCTTCAAGAACAGGGGAATTGGATTGGAATCGCTCAATTCCTCCAAGAATTCGCTAATTCCTTCTCTAGACTCCGTAGGATGTGGTGAACGTAGCGCTCTCCTGGCGGTGAATGTAGCCACTCTGGAAGGGACGCAGCACACACATGAGAATCTCCGCGGCGACCCCAGCAACGCATCCCAGCGATAGCACAACGGTGTACGCAATCCTATAGCCGCGCGGAGGATCCAGCATGTCGAATCCCTTGAAAACATTGACGATCCCCATGATCATCACCGCCCACGCCACTCCATCCACCGGGCAGCAGCAGTAGCACTGGAATCCGATCGCCCCTATCCCTCCCAGCACCAGCAGCGCGATCGCGATGCTAAAGTGCGCCTTGTTTCCAATCTCTCCCGCGTCGCCGGCGAGCCACAGGCCGACGATCGTGCCGCCAAAGCCCAGCGTGTAGGCGATGATCCTCACGGCGTAGAAGAGCTTGAGGTGCCTCCCCTGGACCTGGAGGCGCGTCACGAATCCATACCAGCGGATCACCAGCGGGATCAAGATCCCCCACGAGAGCGCGCACACGATTCCATGGACGTTCCTCACGGTGTGACGGGAGTTATTGTCGTAGATGCTTCCGTTGGCCATGAAAGGAAGAGTTTCTCTCCTCTCAATCTCGCGGAGAAAACCTTTTACTCTTTCTCGAGCCCGCCATTCTCATTCTCGGAGAGCAACTGTTTGGAGATCTTGTTTGACGAAGAAAAGCTTCTACGAAACGACAACGAAAAAACGCTGAGAAGCGTTCCTTCACGCGTATTGCGAGCACCACGTCTCACAAGTCTATTTACATGTGCTACAAATGAAAAGTCTACGCTGATCTTCCGGGTATGAGCCAAGAAAAAAAAAAAAACCAAAGCGGAATCTCTGCATGACGTGAAGAAGCTGTTAGTCATCTCGACAAGAAGAAATCAACGAGAAAGAAACTACAATCATCTGGAAGAACAGAAAAAAGGAAAAACTCTTCAAAGCTTACCGAGTAGGCTAGCGCTGTTCTAGCCGCGCTTGATGCAAATCTCGGTCCATATGCGTCCATCAGGAAGATGACAGTAGTCTGGAACGCACAAATACGGCCCTGCTTCCGCCTTGGCCATGCTCTTTGGCACGCACTTCATCCACAGCTCCACCTCCCCGCCCTTGAAAACCGAGATGCTCACCTTGACGTTCTCCTGGTGGCGAGCAACCTCGGACGGATAGAGGCGGCCGGAGGATCCCTGCTGCTCGAAGTGGATGAGGAACATCGCCTCGGACGATCCAATCCGGACGGGGATGACCCTCGCCTCGCTGCCCTTGAGCGCCATGCCGAACTCGACGTTGTAGTCCGGGATGTCGATGATGTTCCAGCGGTGGTGGTCGCTGAAGTGGGAGCTAAACTGCGACGCCGCGCCGGTGAAGCTGCAGCTCGCACACCTCCGGGGGGCGAAGGAGCACCTGGCCTCGTGAGCTCGCCGCGCATAGATTGGGAACGCGTCCGGGCAGCCAAAGGACGAGTTGGAGCACAGCACGGAGAAGCAGCCAACCAGCCGCTCCAGCGCCTCGTTCCGGAAGCTCTCGACGGTGCCGGGGCATGAGCACCACCTCCGCTCGGTGTTGCGGCAATGCGCGCAGACGAGGTGATGGTTCCGGCACTGGAAACGAGCAATTCAATCGAAGATAATGCTATGAGTTGCAAGAATAGAACACAAAACAAAGATCTAGCAAGCCCGAAGCATGAGTAACAGTAATAGCCAAAGATCTCGCAAGCAGTTAATAGATTCTCGCAAGCCAAAACGAGAGAGTTATGCAAATAGAACACAGCCATAAGATCTCACAATCTTAAACGAACAAGATCACAAGAAGAGAACGAGATACCTGGTAAATGCAGCTGACGAGAACCTCCTTGCAGAAGCCACAGGAAATAACGTTGAGGGTGAATGTGAGCGAGATGGGCGAGTAGGGCGATGAGAATGGCGCCGCGCTTGGAGCGCCTGGCGACTCGCCCAGCCCCGACAGCTTTGGCCTCTTGGCCAGCGTGGTCGCCATTGCCCTTCTCCACAGGAACCCTAAAATAAGAGGTGTCCCAAGATCATTTCTACAAAATGAACGATTGCTGTCTGATCGCATTTGCGTGTCGTATCACTGCATTGTGTCCATTGCAAGAATTTGCCTCCTAGCTTTTGACACAGTTAAAGACCCTTACGTTTTTTTCGTGCTTTTATAAAGACGCCCGGCGTTCTTCCATCATCGAAAAATGGGAATCGTTGTCCAAGTTCATTATCTTGGAGCCCCTCCAAAGTGTTCTGGGCGTGTGCCAACTTTACTTGCGTACGAACTATAAGCCACGAAAACTTTGACTCGAGGAATGGGTTTGGTCCAGATTAAGACTCGTAAACGCTTCGTTGTTGGGAAGTCTGGCATCTAATCTGGATCCTCGAGTCAAAGCTTTCGTAAGACTCCATGGCTTATAGTTTGGCTTATAGTCTTGTTGTCTATCATGTTTGAGCGTGTTATTCATAACAAAGCAACAATCGAGGCCCTTAGTAGTTGTAATTAAATTAGCGCATTCTCTTGTAACTTGTTCCTCAGATGAATGAGAAGTCCACTTTAAGAAAATTGAGATAAAGCTCGTCACCACACTCCAACGCTTTTGGACCTCCAAAACGGTGTATTTGGCGGCCTAAATAGTGCTGGCGAAGAAATTGTTCCAAGCACCAAGCTTCGAGGGAAGCCTTTTTTTTCAGTCAAATTCTTGATGGATACTATATCCTCCGCCATCCGATCAACGCTGTCAATGCTAGCGTGGTGAGCGAAAGCTTCCCATTTTTTCTCTTTTACTCCTTTCGGGCCAAAAAAGCTGTTGCTAGAACTCTCCATCAACCTCCCCGCGAGATTTTGTTTTGAAACTCCTACTCCAGAGACACATTTCCCTTTCTGGCGATAGATTCAATCCCGGTATTTGCTTGAGGAGCTCCAATCGATCAGCCTCCAGTTGCTCGAGTTTCGTCCGGCAAGCTCTCGTGCTTCCTGGAGCTCCGTTAGAGCACAGGACAATATGAAAGTTATGGGTTGCCCCAAGAGCCCTAAAACAACAGGGTTTTGGAATCGAGGAGGTGAGCGTAGAGATGTAATACGCGCGGATCCATCGATCCATGGGGCGGCAATCGGCGCTTGGCGGCGCTGGAAATGCATCGCAGGATTTCTACAGGGATCGCTGGAAAAAGTCGGATTTCGGGGCCAATGCGATCCAGGAGAACCTGGAATTCGTCCGGGACAGGCGATGGGTCGTGAGCGAGTGCTTGCGGAGGCTGTGCTCTACATCCGAAGCCATGGCGGCGCTGCTAGCTTACGGCCTGGCGGAGACAGAGAAATTCAGGGATCAGGCTGGAGGAGGCGACGACGAGAGGAGATTCTTTCTTCTCGGGAGATTGCGTTTGCTCCAATTCAAGGATCGCCTCGACACATACCTGGGGATTCATATGGGGAGGTTAGTCTTGCTCTTTCGTTTCCTTTTTCTTTCTCGTTTTCTCAATGTAGTGCTATACTTCCCAGGTATGATCCTCAAAAGTACATGATCTTTCGATCGACCAGCTTGCACAGGCTTGCGTCTACCTTCGCCGAGCACGGGAAGACGGGTGCTCTCGAGCTGCTAATGAAGCGTCACGGCTATGCTCTAGCTCCTCACGTCTTGAGCATTTTGGACGGGATTCCAGAGACGCTTTCACCTCACACTTACGAGCAGCTTCTTCCGAGGTTGTCACCACCTCAAGTTTTACTTCCTCGTCGGGGCCAAGACTGGATTGAAAGCGAAGCTGTGGTGAGGCTGGCAGATGCTGGAGTCTCCGGCGAGGTTGATCTTCACGAGTCTACCGAGTTTATGGTGAACTTGTCCAGAGGTTTAAGGTGGCCTGCGGCGGAAGAGATAACTTCGTGGTATCTGCAGCGAGCGAGAAGAATAGACCAGCTGAGTGGTCAGCTCGAGAACAGCTTGTTTCTTCTGGATGCTGGGATACAAAAGGGCGTCAGCGGATTGAACGATCTGTGGAAGGACGTTGCGGACCTTTGCAGGGTGTCCTTCTCGAATGCCGAGTGCAAAGAGGACGACGCGAGCTTGGCACTGGCAACGTGGGAAGCTCTGGATGCGTTTGACAAGTTTAAGATGATGCTGAGGGGCGTGACCGAGGACAACGTTGTGGACAGGCTGATGGAGGTTGCAGTTCCTTTCGTACAAGGGCTGGCTGAGCAAGGAGAGACGCAGCAGAGCTTTCTCGTTCGATATCTCAAGGAGGTTGCGTCAGCGAACTTGCAACTTTGTGCGGTTGTCTTGGAGGATTCGTGCAAGCCACCATACAAGGGTGTGCTGTTCAAGGACGAAGCGGAGATAATTGCTGCGGGTCTGGACTGCATCTATAGCTCTTCCCAGACAGATGAGTGGGAGCTCATGGCCTCTATTCTTTCAAGGTTACCGTGGGAAGATGACAAGCAGCAGCAGAAGGCCAGTGATACTTATGGCGAAAGGGGTTTACGGAGAGGTTTTGTGAATGCACTGCGATATCCTAACAGAACATTAACAGACACATCGATGGATGCACCTTTCAACGTGAGCCCGACGAAAAGGTATCCTGCAATCAGCGATGAACTTGCGAGACGGTTGAGGACAGCCGAAGGACACATACAGGCTGGAAAGATTTTGTTTCGCTATCAGGTATGTTTCGAGCTCTATTATATGTTCGCTAACTTACTAGTGCTGTTGGCAGCTTCCAACGAAAATAGGATTCTTGGCTTCATCCAATGAGGATGTGAAAGGAACCAAACAGATGCTTCGTATATTATTGTCAAAGTTTTTGCGGAAGCATCCAGGCCGATCGGACGGGGAATGGAATGCACTATGGCGGGACTTACAGGTTCTTCAGGAAAAAGCCTTCACATTTCTTGAGAAGGACTATTTACTTTCTGAGTTTTGCCGGGGCCTTCTAAAAGCTGGAAGATTTCACCTGGCAAAATCATATTTTAAGGATCCTGGAGTTGCTCTTCTCAGCGAGGAAAAGATCGAAAGCCTCGTGCTGCAAACGAGTCGAGAGTTCTTCTACTCTGCAAACACTCTGGATTCTCCTGACGTAAGTCTTTCGCCTTGAAGCTGTATTTGATGCTGAAGTTCGTGTCTCTTGCAGATTGACAGGGCTAAGGACTGTTTAAGCCTCATACCAGATTCCGGGTCTGGGATAGCTGAACGTGATATCATTGTAGCCGTCACCGAAAGGCTACCATATCTGGGTGTGACGATGCTGCCAGCGCAGTTTCGTCAGATCAAGGATCCGATGGAAGTTCTGAAAATGGCTATTGAGTCTCACAAGGAGTCTCACGTTCCGCTCGAGGAAGTGTTCGAGGTGGCGAGACTGCTTGGTTACAAAGATACCAGTCAGATGGCCTTTGTCGAGGAAGCACTTGCTCGAGAAGCAGCCGCTCACGGGGATGTTGCTGTGGCTCAAGAGCTGTGCCTTAGCCTGGCAAGGAAAGACCATGGCAAAGTCTGGGACCTTTGCGCAGCTATTGGACGGGGTCCCGATGCGGAGAGACTAGATATTAAGTCCCGGAAGGAGCTCATCAGCTTTTCACTCCGCCATTGCGACGGCGAGTCTATTGGAGAGCTACTGTCTGCGTGGAAGGAGTTCGACTTGGTAGATGAGTATTTACCAGTGACACTTCTAGAGGTGTCTGACTCTGCCTCCACAGAGGGATCTGCCTCCACTGAGGGATCAGAAAAGGAGGAAGTAGGCGCACCAGACGATTTTCTCCAAGACGATGTTACGACGCCAAAGGTCTGTTAGTTGCTTTTGGTTCCTTGGTGTTTTGATATCAAGGTTGTTTTGCAGGACGATGAGCCTTTAACCGAGCTGGACGAGACGCCTACGAATATAAGCTCGCTGGAGCCTACTGAAAGAAAACTAGCCGTTGCCGCCCGGAGGTCCAGGGACATAGTTGCTCAGGAGTTTGCAGACGGTGAAGTTACAGAAGCTGACCTGGCGAGCGTAGAGGATGCATGGCACTGTTTTTCGAGGCTAGCCGAGAATACTTCGACGAAGAAACAAGCCGCGGCTCTAAAGCTACTGCTTGAGGAGTGGGAAACTGTCTTTGAGACCAAGGAAGACAATGAAGACGACTTGCAACGAGCTGAAGACAAGGGTGGTGAGGATGGCTGGGGCGACGGGTGGCAAGATTTTGACGTTGCTGAGACGGTAGAAGCTCCCAAGCTACAATCACTTTGGAAGATAGCCTGCCAGAAGCTGATCCAGTACCGAGGCCTTGAAGCAGCTCTGAGCGTGCTGGATAGGTGGTCTACGAGCTCATCCGCTCTACTCAACAAGGACGAAGCCGAGGAATTTGTCCACTGTGCAGCACAAGAGAATCCACTGTTGGGGCTGAAGTTTGCACTCTTGCTCCCCTATGAATCTCTGAGGAGCACTTATATGGATCGTGTTGAGGCTGAGTTACAGAGTCAGGGTGCGGTTCTGGACAAAGCCGCTATGGTTTTACTTCTTTCTGCACGACTTCTTCCAACCATCGCTAGTGCTTCAACCTTAACCGGTCTTTTCTCGGCTCTCTCGAAAGGTTTTGCGGAGCTCCTTCACAAGTCTCAGGCAGGAATACTGTTACCCGAAGACAGCCTTGGAGCTCCATCTCTGAACGTCATCGTGCCATACTTCGTCTCGGAGATGACGAGAGGACGTCACTATGGAGCTGCTGCCAGCTTGGTGCTCCAACTCATGCGAGTGCCACAGTCTTTTGCTACGTGGAACATATCGCACTTTGCACTGAAACGCTACCTGGAAGCACAGCAACAGCAGCAGAGGCAGAAGAGGGAAAGCTTCGACCCTGAAAGGCTGAGAGAGAGCTCTCTTTTCTACCTCTGCGAGACGATTTCCCGCATGGTAGCCTCTTTCGACGTGGTTGTGACCGAAGCTTTGATGACACTTGCGAAGGATATGAAGTAGCTGCTCGGATCTCTGACCTGGTCAGTACTGGAATTCTTATTCTTTTTCTCTTTGCAACGTGTGCACGCTGAATGATTTTGGTATTGTTTTCAGACGTCTCGCCTAGCTTCTGACTTCTGCAAGAAGCATGGAAATCTTTAACCGGCAGATATTTCAACGCGCCACTCAGCCTTCAGATGCATCCTTCCTGGGAGGGGGAGGATTTTAGAAGCGCCGGAAGAATAATTTGCGAAGGTGGCCCAAGCATACGATAGCAGCGTGGGCCAGGTATTCTTTGTTCTTATACAAGATCTGATAGCTTAAAATCGCGTACTTATCCAGTTTTCCAGGTGGCCCGCTTAGCAAGTTGCTCAAACAGACAAAAGTCACATTCGGTTGCATGTTGTTGAGTGGTGGCAGCTTGGCTGGTTCGAGTTTAGTCCTCTGACATCAAAAGCGAAACACATTGCTCTCATTCATGATACTTCATGAACTTGGGAGCTCTGTTCCGATTCCAAGGTAAAGGTTTTATCTCGTCTCGTAAACTAATCCCTTGTTACTGCGTTGAATGCAGTGTGTTTTTTGTTGTATGTTTATTCCACCTAAGCGCGTTGAAATGCCATAGTTAAGAATCTTCAAGGCTCGTGTTATCTTTTCCCTTCTTATATCTTGCCGATTTTTCTTTTAGCTCGAGATTGATGGCGAGGTTTGAGGCCGACACAAGCGCTTGGTCGATACCGACAAGTTAGCTCAAGTGGCCCTCTACGACGACAAACAGGTGCTCTCAAAAGCTGGGCCACTCCTTGTTTTAACGAGTTCGTTTTTCTTCGAGTTTGCAGCTATATGATACTGTTTCCAATGCGGAGTTGAATGATTGAGAGGGATAGCTAGCAACGACGATGATGCTAGCGGTAAGCTTTTCCCCTTGCCGCCAAAACAAAGGTGAAGGCCAAGGGTGGTAAAGCCAGCATCACCAAGTTTGGTGGTGTAAACACTGTATTTGTGGGCCATTTGTGTCTACGAGGAGGCAAGCCCGGTGAGGGCTGAAGAACACACAGGGACACAGAGAAACAAAGAAGGAAATTTGTGAACAGGTTGGGGCTGGAAGAGGGAGTCTCAACAATCGATTTTTTTTCTTCCCGGAGCCGATCAAGGTGGAGAATTAAATGGCTTATTCTTGCTTCTCGGCACAGAGCAGGCAGTGGCTAGCTTTTCTGGACGAGAGTTTACTGGAGGAGCTCACCAAGCCGCAGCCGATTCTTGTTCTCTCTTCGGAGCAGCAAGAACAGGTCCAATTGCAACATGGTTCTTGTTTCAGGTAACTCCAACTTTCATTTTCACCTCGGATTCATCGCAATCGCGTCTTTTACAGAGCCGAGTCTCTAAAGCTTGACAAATCGCCTCGCAAAAGGTCGGCTTTTCTTTTAGCTCATTTCTTCCGAGTCCCTGAGTTTGAAATTTGGTTGACAAGTTTTGCTTGTTCTTCTTGCAGGCCGCGGGACGACGCAACGTCCTCCAAGGCTGTCCGAGAGAAGATGAGACGGGATAAGCTCAATGATAAGTGAGTGCCTCACTGTTTCCACGGGACTCCTGTGTTGAAAAATTCCCTTTTGTACTCTTGACAGGTTTTTCGAATTGAGCGGCGCACTGGAACCGGGAAGGCCTCTCAAGTCCGACAAATCCGCCATCCTCATCGAAGCGGCATGCGTTTTGCTGCAGCTGCGACAAGAGGCCCAGCAGCTCAAGGAATCCAACGACAAGCTCCGTGAAGCTGTTAAAGACTTAAAGGTTCGTTAGTGCGACACAGCAGAGCAAAGCAAAGCAATTACTCTCGCTCGCTTCCGCAGATTGAGAAGAACGAACTCCGGGACGAGAAGCTCAGACTAAAAGCCGAGAAGGAGAGGCTCGAAGAGCAGCTAAAGACGTTCTCGGTCTCCTTCGTCCCTCATCCCGCGTACCAAGCAGCGGCCGCGGCCGCGGCACTGGCTGCTCAAAACCACTCGCTTCCACCCTCCGAAAAGCTCAAGCTCGAGACGGTGTCGGCCTTCCCGGCAGGCGGGATGTGGCAATGGATGCCTTCGTCGTCCACTTCGACGGAGGATTCTCTCTTGAGGCCTCCTGTAGCTTGAGCGACTTTTTCTTCATCCTGGCGAACTTTTTGTCTTGTGAATAGGAAGTGGGCGTAAGAACAACTTCTAACTGTATGTAAAACCATAACTATACAATGACAAGAGCCGTATGATCGAGACAACTTGGATCAAAACCACTGCATAAGGAAAATCAAACTTTCTTAAGCAATGAAGAAAAAACCATGAAAACCACACCTGGTAATCTTTCACGCTCCCACAGTCATGAAGGATTCATGAACGTGCCTTAGCATGGGCTCGTCTCTCGTCCAGTCCTGCGTGGGAGCTCTCACGTAGTGGGCGTAGAGCTTGTTCTTGGCGCACGTAACGAAGATGAGGCTGTGAGCCACCGGCCCCTGGATCTCATACTCGTAGTAGAGCTGGCCGGAATCGTTTTGCTTGTCCGAGGCCTTGATGCTATCGGCCTGGGAGATATCGTCTTGCAAGCTCACGTCCGAGAGGGAGAGATCGTTGAGGACGTTGTCTCGGTTGGCGAGCTTGCGAAATCCTGCCAAGTATGTGAGGTAAGTCTTCTCACCTTTCCTGCGTGGGTTGTAAAACTCCGAGTCGGTCCCATTCGTGCCCTTCTCGACCTTGGAGATGAGGCGCTCCTTCCATCCCTGGGGCACCTCGAAGATATACTCGGCCGAGTCCTTCTTGCTCGCATTCCCGCCATAGCCGCCATAGCTGGACGCGCTCGCGGCTGTGCCGTAATACGTCTCAAACGGCGAGGATCCCTCTTCCGCCGCTGCCGCCACCGGGGAATCGAGAGAGAATGCCGCCTTCGAATTCGATCCAAATGCCGTGGACGACGCAAGCGCTAGCAGCGCTAGTGCCTGCCGCCTACCGCATGTAGCTGTGGATGCCGAGGCGATCGATCCTCCTCTTCCTGCCGCCGCGAAAACCCTAGCCTTAGAAGACCTGGGGAGAGTGGCGAGGGAAATACAAGCCATTGCCGCCATGGCCACTATATCCGCATTGGCAAAGTTTTTAAACTCCGTGACGTGTCCCAAGAATATACCAAATGCTCTTTCTAACAAGTGTGCCCTAGATAAATCCACGTATTTGACACGTGGCTTACGTCCACGTGGCGACGCGTGCGTGGAGATACTTTGAGTGTGCTCTCCACGCACACAAAAATTTCGTTCTCGTTGCGAGAATATTTCTAGGCTAGGTAAGACGAGGCCATGGCGCCAGGCAAGCTCTAGAGATTCATTTTCTATGCGCTATAGCAGCTAGATCAATCAAAGAAATGGCCGCCACGGCTGTCAATCGCTGCGTGTCGGCGCTAGATCCAAGGAGAAAGACAATTCTTCCTGTAGATCATTCGAATAGTGTAATTGGACGAGATTTAGGGAGAGCTGTTAGAGAATGTTCTTCCTCGGTATTTGGAAGGAAGCTCCGATCTTATAGAAATTATAGTCGTTCGGTGGCAGCAAGAGCAACAGTGGACGATAGCTCTTCCATTGGGACTGAGGCGCCTGAAGAGGACTACTACTCGGTTCTAGGATTGGTATGGTTCTTTGTTGTTCCTTTTTATGTTTTCAGTTCCTTTCTTTCATTTGTTCATGTTTTTTCTAGGAGCCCGATGCTACGTCCGAGGACATTAGAAAGGCTTACTACTCCTGTATGAAAGAATGCCATCCCGATTTGATTGGAGATGACTCTGGAGCTACAAATTTTTGTATGTTTGTGAATGAAGTGTACGAGGTAAAAACGTTCTTTTTTTGTGTGCGTTCTTTTTTTTGTGTGTGTTTTTTCTCAGCTCACAATGAAAAGAATTGGTGTGTGATAGGTGCTGAGTGATCCGGAGCAGAGGATGGTGTATGACGAGATAAATGGCTACGCCCTGACTTCAAAGAACCCTTTCTTGAGTGTTACGTGTACCAAGGATCGAGTGTTTGTGGACGAGGTTTCATGCATCGGTACGTATCAAGCTTTTGTGTTCTCTCTCTTTCACTTTCTAATGTATAGTCGTGTCTCGAAGGATAGGATGTAAGAACTGTGTGAATACAGCGCCTTGTACGTTCGCAATTGAGGAAGAACACGGAAGAGCACGAGTTGTTTCGCAATCTGGCGACGCATCGCTTTCACAGATTGCTATAGAATCATGGTAACTTCGTTGCCTATTCTCTTGTAAGTTTTGCTGGTGTCTAGTTTCATTTCTAGCTAACGCGAACTGTTTTCAAAGCCCCGTGGACTGTATCCACTGGGTTTCTGCTCCTCAGCTCGCTCTTTTAGAGGATGAAATGCGAAGAGTGGAGCGCGTGAGTGTAAGTGGCTGGCCGGCTATCTATAACTTCGTGATTAACTGAGCTCTCACAGGTTGGCGTCATGCTTTCAGGCATGGGTTATCAATCCGCAGACGTTTTTGCAACGGTAAGCTCTCTACATTTGAGGCAAAATCGAGCACACAGAAATGTTTTCTCTTGCCAGGCCAGTACGAGGTGGGAGAAGAAGCAAGCAAAAGCCCGGGTACTCTCCCTACAGTTTGTCCAAATGAGTTAACCATCTTCTCTTCTCACTGCAGATTCGTGCAATGAATAGAGCTGCGAACGCCCGGAATAGCTCCATGCATCCTTGGTGGCAGGGTATGTGGAACCAAACCATGGGAACAAGACCAGGCAAGTCTCGCATTCTAGCCCTTCCTCTCTCATCGCATCTATCAAACTGAGTGTGGCATAACAGAAGAATGGGAAAAACAAGCTGGGGAGAAGCGCAACCGAGCGGCTGCAGCAGCACGAAGATGGAGAGAGTACTCGAGGAGAGGATTTTACGGACGGCCGACGCAGATTCTTCCGGATAACAAACAAGACAATAATTAGCAGCTCGAATCACGGAAAATTATACTAATAAAAACTGTATATAGTTTGAACAACGCCATAGTTTACCGATTTTTTATTTTTCAAGCTGGTATGGTTTGCTGATTTGTGGTTTTTGGGTTATTCAAGCTGCTCGAGGTGCGTTCCACCTGGTGGTACGCTTGGGCGGTGAACTCGCAATGTTAATGTTGTGCTCTAGCTCTAGAACTTTCAGGACCTCGCAATACCTTTCATCAGTAATGGTAGGATTCAAAATTGGTTGTCTGTCCTCAATTTCTTTCTACATCCACAGCAAGTTTAGAACTGGCCACAACGATCCTCCTGCATGCTCGATCTTGCACACTTTTACTTGTGTCAAAGGCTTCTTGTTCTGTCCATGTAGCAACTTTGGAGAGGTTACCTGCTATGTGTGAGAAACCAGTTTGATTTAATTCTATTGGCACAAACTCTTTTAGTTGATTGTACCTCAGACAAGCTGGCCCAAGGCCTGAATTCAGCACCCTGAAAAGTAACAATCTCCCAAAATCCTTCTATAATAAACTGTTATTGTGATGGCAAAATGGGGTCCTAAAACGCTTGAAATTTGATCAAATAAAAGATTAGAAATGTTACAATATTCTAAAAACTTCAATTATTAAGATTTTTACAGCCAAAAAAAGAAAAACATGTTTATTGAATTGAGTAAACTTTTAAATTTTTATAAAAGTAAGAAGTTAAATTTATAAGCTTCAAGAACAACTTCAATCTTCTATTGCGTTCAATCCATCTTTTATATATTAAGTATATTAGAACAATATATTTTCCTTTATTATAAAATGTAGATGTGGAATAAGAACTTATAAACTAGGGTTTTTAGGATATTGTACTTAGAGTAATTTAACTAAAGTTAATATAAATTTTATCATAAGAAAAAGAGATTACAAAGGCTGAAAAAGTATACAAATTATATGAAGACCAGGATGTAGTTCTTTTCAGATGATTAACTAAAGTATCTTTCTCATTAGAATTTAATATATTAAATTTCAATAATTTCATAAATAAAAAGAAATGTTTAATATAATTTATTTCAATTTTAATTAGTATTAATTGTCTAATTTGACTTTATTAAATCATGGATATAACTCTAGTTATAACTCTAATTTTTTAATTAAAAAAATCGTTTTAAATCATTTTAAGCAACATCACATGAATATATAATTTTATAATTTTATATTTTAAGAAATAAAGCTAGACTATTAATCTAATATATTATTTATAAAAGAGAACTATGATAAAAAAAACTCCCATAGGAGATAAAAACTATTTTTGGTTTGCTTAAGCAAACCTGTAGGGGATGGTAATGAATATACTTAGAATATGCTTGGATATTCTAAGATATTCTATCATCCAATGGTGGTTATTCATTTAGATGAATTCCATATTTATAATTTATAAACTTTTCTAACCACTTTGTATCATCATGAGTGTGTGTGGTTTTTGGAGCATGAGCCAAAGAAACTATGTAATGTACAATGCATTGGTTGGGTTCTATGTCCAGATTGGCAATTGCAAGAGAGCTCTCAAAGTTCCACTGCCAAGGCCCTCAATCCAGGCACCGCCATGAAGCTGGATGAATCTGGAGAATCTGGAGCCAAGGCTGGATGGATGAGGCAGCCAGTAATCCATGTGAAGGGAAGAATGAAAAAGAGGAGTGCTCATAGGGGGCTTCCAGCCTCAATTGTGACATGCATGAAGCATTGAAACCAGCTCAGGGATTTGAGCAAGGCCCCCTCAAGATCAATCATGATGCTATTGTTGTTCCCGGCCACCACATTCTCCACTGGCTCCAATGGATTGCTCTTGTCCCTGGAAAGTGTCAAGAAAATCATATTTGGACTAGTGAATTGATTGAGGATTGCCTCTCCCTGGAGGTTTGAGCTGAGAGCCACGATCCAGGATCAGAAACCCACCATGGCAGTATTGATTGATTTCCCAGAATCAATCAATCAACCTGGAATGCATCCATGGATGGAGCTTAGATCTTCCTTTGTATGGCTCCCTATTATGCGAGTGGGCAGTGGGTAGAAAACAAAGATCAATGGAGGAGGGAGAGTCTTTTCAAAGAGGAGTTGTTGGGAAGAACAAATTGAGGCTCAATTGATGGATGGTGACCGAACCTTGAGTTTTGAAGGAAACCATGACATAAATGCTGGGCTTTGACTTGGACACGCAAGTCCATGCAAACAACAATCTTTCTATTCCTATTCATTCCTCTTTTTTAAAGCGACGGACAGAGGGAGATTGTAGCAGCTGAGGAGTAGAGTCAGGCTGCTTCTAGCTTCAGCTTGGATGATGATGAGAAGTATCTGGCAAGGATGTTTATAACAAGAAGAGTCAGTGCATGAAAAGGTTGAAAAGGTTGAAAAGGTTTGTCACCAAGTTGACAGATTTTGCTCAAAGTTTTATTCTTTTTTGTTTTCGATTCTTCAAAGTGAAGTCTAATTTATTTTTTGCTCTTTTTACTAGTATAAATTAACTAGAGGTAATTCTGTTTAATCAATCACATAGATATGTCAGATTTGGATTGTGCTATGGATATTGTTCAGTCGTCAAGATTTGTTTACAGAAACAAGTTCTTATGAAGATTTGGTTTTTCTCTTTATTCTTTAGTATTTCTTGATTTATTTCTTTTTGGTTTTGTAGTTTCACAAGCAAAGAGGACAGCAACCATGATTCTTGAGCTGAAGATTTTATCTATGTATGGTTTTGAAATTGTTTTTTTTCTGTAGTTTTGATTTGCTTTTTGCCTAGGCAAGTGTCGCGAATGTGACTTCGGGTATCGAAAGTTACCTGTCGACTAGTCCTTACGGACACTCTTACCTTACTGCCACGATGGTAGGAGGTCGGTATTGCTGAACCCTTTATTAGTCCCTCTTGTGCTAGTGGAGTTAACTGGGCATTTCAAGTGTACTTAGACCGGACGAGCATAAGGACGGAATTCCTACGTGTTATTAGCTAAGCATACTTAGCCTGGTAAGGAGTTCCCGTCTCGTTATGTCTTGCACTTGCTAGTGACAAGAACCCTCGCGTATTGAGATTGGTCCCTCAATATCGCTACATGATAGCTTACCGTGTCTGCCAAACACCCTCACTATCATGCGCTTTGTGTTGGTCTCATTTTGGTCCCAAATGCTATTTATGGAAAGTGTCCAGATTTGCTCATTTGGCATATCTACGGAATGTAGAGATCGGCCTGAACACAATGGTGTTCGTCCCGTATCCAAATTCGCAATTTAGCGCCATTCTATATTTAGTAAGTTTCGAGCTTGTTCCAGAGACTAACTCCTGATACTAAGGGAGGCTTGGGGTGAAAGCCCAAAGCGTGTGTTCCTCAAGGGGGGGGGGGGCTGTGATAGTGGGTAGGTTGGGCATGGCCAACCAACCTGAGGCATAATCTAGCTCCCACTTGCATGCCTATCCTTGTTCTGCGTCTGGCTTGGGTCTAAGCCCAAGTTCTATTCCATGCTAGCTGGTGGAGTACCCATGTCCTCGCATTAGGCCACCAGTATGCCGAAATAACGCCAGACTTTGTTTGGCTCCATTTTGCGTGTTAGTCCTGGCATTGGGATGCTGGTTACTCTAGGACTGTTCCAAGTCACTCCGGGCTCCTATCCCTTCGCTCCTTGGGCTTTATGCTCGGGAGTTGCTTCGTGGCTCGGTTCCGTCACTCCTTGGCTTCGTGCTTGGGAGTTTGGCACCGTTCCTTCGTTCAGTGGCCCAAGGCCCTGAACCTCGGGTTCCTATGGACACGTGGCATGTGACATGTGGCATCTGTCACATGGCACAAAGAGGGTTAGGTTCCGCTTTGTGGTGCTATCCTATGGTAAATCACCATAGGATAAAGGGTCAAAACCACGTGCGCTACACTTGGTATCAGAGAAGGACTTTGAGCGAGTACTATACAATGAGATTGGGCAACTAGTCTCGTTGCATACGCAGAGATGAATACGATGATCCGAGTGGGTACACGTTTGGGTGTAAAGGCTTCGCAATTGTTCCTTGTGTATGGATTTGGTTACCTTGTTGTACCATATTTTGTGAGCTTGAGCTTGGGCTCACAAGAGACATTGAGTTGTTCCGTTCGCACAAGTTTGAGCTTGGGCTCGTGAGTGAGGCACATTAGCAACTTGAGGTTACACTTTTAGTTGGCAGGATTAATGTTAGCCTATTAGTGGTTCCATGAGTTGTTCCATGTACCATGGGAAAAAGTAAACCTTCCCTGGGTTTGCTATGAGTGGCAAATAGGCTGGTCCGTAGCTATTTAGCACGGCACTAGTGGATCCTTCTTAGGCATGGTTACAAGTGGATCAATCAAGACTATAGGGATTAGTCTATTAATTCAAGTAATCATTGCCGTGCTCTCTCATAAACTTTTCTTGGATTGAACTGAAGGCAATGTGAAAGCAAGCTTGAGGTTTGGTCAAAGTAGAGACTGAAAAGAGAGTCATCAGGGACGAAGGATCGAACACGTAAATCATCTTCTCTTCTTGGAGAGATGATTCACAATGATGTGTGACTCATTGCTCGTGTTCACAATATGCAATCAAGAGTCCCTACCTTGATGCATGTTGGAAATGATGGTCTTACAAGTGGTGAGTCATGGGATGGATAGTGGTGAAGCGCTATACCATTTTGTCTAGGCTTGCTGTTGGAAGACTTGGGTTGCAATGCTCAATTCTTTTCCAAGGAACCTTGCTATTGCTCCTTGAGTAGCTTGGTGTTGGATTAGTTTTGAGTTTGGTCGGAAAGAGAGTGGCATGAGCTTGTCCGTGTTGTGAACAAAAGTTAGTGGTGTTGAGTGTTGTAAATCTCTATCGGTGGAGTGTGGCATTTATGTTACATTTTGTCGAATCAAGTTAGCACTTGATAATCACATAAATGTAAGCGACTAAATTTTCCATTCTACTTTAGTCACTTAACCACACCTCCGACCACTTGGAGGAGTCTCATTCACAACCTCCATAAGTCCAATTCAGGACTTGGGACTTGCTAGCCCCAAGAATGGCATCCATACCACTCAACATTTGCACTTGGTCCAAGTGCT